GTTTGGGCGGGGACATTGGGAAATTGTATTGTGGGGCCTCTATCCATCGAACAAACTTTAACCGTATTTGGATATGCTGGAAAATACTATTGACCTTCTAATCACCGAAGTCGTCGAAGCGAATCCTAACGAATTTGATAATGATATTGTATTCCAGCAAGATGGTGCTCCATCACACTACTAAAGACAAGTTAGGAATTATTTAGATAACAAGTTCCCCGGTCGCTGGATTGGCCGTCGAGGTCCTGTGGAATGGCCAGCTCGCTCGCCAGATTTGACATCGTTAGACTTTTTTTATGGAGCTATTTGAAGCAAAAGTTGTACAAAACTGACCCTGCTTCAATATTGGATATACGGCTGAGAATAACAAATATTTGTAGAAATATCGATGTTACTATGTTTGAAAATGTTCGACATACCCAATTTTAGTACATGAATTCGTTCCCTGTGCTATATCTGTTTAAGTTCTCAATGTAAGCCGGCACTGTCACCGTCGCCGTGATTCTCTATCAACAACTACAGAGGTGCATCGTTCGTATTCTACTCGGAACAACAAGGAGTATTCTTCTTCGAGCGTCGGTCTGGGCGTCAGTGCTCGCTGACGGACTGCTTCATTAGAGCTGCTGGAGCGACGACGTGCGCGACCCATGTACTCTCTTATCGGGACGATGCATTTGTACTTGCCACAGACGTCCAAACTAGCATCTAGAGGATATGTGCTTCATATAAACTAAAAACTGAGGTTTTGGATCCTGTTTACTTTTGTTCGTGTATCCTCCTTTAGCTTTGTGATTTTAACATATACATATGTATTTGGACATTTCGTTTAGACTACATCCACGTTTTGTAGCTTTAAGCTAAACTTCATTTGCACTGGCGTATCGGGAAAAAGATCCGGGGAGGGAGGAGGAGCTCAGTATTCATGTTCAAGATGATGTCCGTCTCAGGAGGGAGCGGGGATTTGGTCTGGGGTAGATGGGCTAGATCTCTAAAGCCTCCCCCTGAATACACCAGTGTCATTTGTCTTATAGATCGCTTGTGTTAATTTGAAATGTTGAAATATGGGTTAATACTAAAGCTCCAAATCACAGGCTCACAGGCAATGAAACACGAGTTTTAGATTCAGAATTTAAAATAGTTTCTCAAGATCTGATATCATCTATGCGTGTAAAGGTCTAGTACAAACTTGAGTAAGTGCTCCAACACTAGCTTTGGCAACGTCTTCTGTATTTCCAAGTTTTACTTTTTATTATTTTTTTTTTGTCGCCGGACTGAAGTCACTATAGAACCTCAGTCTCTACGATTATTGTGATTTACAGTACCCATTCTATTAGAATTCTGTATTAATTTGTAATCTAGAGAGAGAAAGAGAGAGGGCTCCTAGTTCTTGAAAAGTTGTTGCTTATTATTATGATCCCAGTCACAAAGGTCATGATACGACGACTTTGTTCTTATTGCGATTGAGATTTCAAATATTTCATGCGGACGGTTTTTCAGACTATTATACCGTGTTAGAAATCTTGCTACAATGTTGAGTTGACCCTTGTTCATTGAGAATAGTAGATCACGTTCTGCCGTTTTGAATGCAATGTTCAATGCTTACATCCAGTGACTTGGACTACATTATTCTTTGTGCTGTTGTCTATCTTATTCTTAAGCTTCCTTATCGTGCTTTCTGCAAAGTCAGCTCATGAAATTTTGGACATTCACCAAAAGTGGAATGGAAATTACCAAGTTTTGTGTCAGTTTGGATGCAGATGTAATGGCTGCTTTCCGTCTCTTTAACCATGAACAACCGCATACAATATTGCTTTTTAGCAATCATCAGTTCGGTCGATGTCTAGTCCTGGAGAATGGACAAACGAAAAGCAAACAAGTGAAACTGAGTCTACTGAAAAACCTAGTAAGTAGTGCATGAACACTATATCGCAAACCTGGCAGAAATTGAGAAAAACGAAGTATCGAAAATTAATGAAAATTATTACTCATTTTAAAGTTAATACCTTAAACAATAGGTTGGCCTTAGAATCAGAACTATGCTCGCACTACTTTTACCATGACATACTATTAACTTGTAGTTTGTGGTGTATGATTTGGCACTACTTTTTAAACGCAAAATTGAAGAGTTCCTGAATCATCAGTGGTGTTGTGTGTTCAAAATGTTCGAGCATCTGAATATGGACTATGACAAAGAAAGTACAAACTTTCATTTGATCTTGTTGTTTCCATGTATACCGTGAATTGAAAAGATGACTAGTTTTTGCTTCACTTCCTCTACCAGTATTATTCAGAGAGGTGCTTAATAAGGTTTCGGTCATTGCCACAAATGTAATCAATGATGAGTGTGACCCTTGAGGTGCTGCGTATAAAATATTGTGTCAGTTTTTGCTAACTTCTACAAACTATTAACTAACCTTATATACTATTCGGTATTCGGAAACAGTTATTCAACTTGTTCGCATTTCCCCTTTGAATGGCGTTAACTTTCATTTCAAATGGCTTCAGAGAAACAAATTATCTCTGATCCAGGTTCAACGACCGCGAGAACCTACGATTTTGATTCTTTCCTTGAGGTGACCTTCAGATGCCCTTATAGTGACTAGTCGATCTATGATTCGGAGTTAAAACCTCAGTGATATACCGTTAGGATCAACTGCTCGGCTTTTTTTAAATGTCCTTGATATGACCCTGAAGTAACCTTCAAACGCCCTCATAAAAAAATTAACCCCAGATTTGAAATCAGCGACCCAAAAAATCATATCGAACTGATAATCATATAAATACCGTAGAAATTATATTTTTGCCAGCTTTTCGGTGTTGTAGACTAAAGAGTCACTACTTGACTCAAGTCAAGTACTTATTAGATTTTAGCAACATGCTATCAAGTTAAGTCACTTACGTTTTTCTGTGAAGTACTTGAAAATTCAAGTACTCCAGATATTACTCAATAATATTTGTTATATAAATACAAGTAGATTACAAATACATAACGGAAATACATGTCACAAGTTTCAGAGAAAACAATACGAATACATATCGAACGACAAGATATATTCATCGTAAACTCAAGTAGAAACAAAACACTTCTTCGTAAGCTGATACAAAAAAATGGAAGATTCTGAATTAGCTAGGCATTCGGTAACCACGAATTAAGGCACATGAGGGTCCTAAAGAATTTATAGTGGTGGTAGAATTAAAAATAACGTAAGTGACAACTACGGGATTTTGAACTACGCTCCTATATCATAATAATTATTTCTAAGTTGTGCCTGTTATACAACATGTACAGCTGAAGATGTATGGACATTGTATTTTGTTCTGCTCTAAAAAAAACATGTAAAATTAAAATTAGTTGATGAGCTTTTATCGAAGAAGTTTTATTTTAATTCGTTTTCATATTTATAGAAAACCTATGGATTTGTGTGCCCGCGCTATACGCGAATATACTGTTCGTAGATGGCGCTGCGTGACCCAAAAGCCCTGATCTGCCACTGATTATGCCGATCCCTGATTTTTCTTCCGACCGATTTTATCCTTGAATTTACGGAACTTCACCAACAATACCTACCGATTTCGTGTTTTTTGATTTGGCAACGCTGTTTGCATACACCATTCCAGATGGCAGTGTGACAACTTATGATTACCTATGTGATTATTTGCATTGAAATACAAATACGGTTATTCGGTTGCACAAATAATCACTGCAGGTCTCTAGTAGAACAAAAATATAATTTGCCATCATGTATTTTGAAAATATTTGACCTCAAGAAGTAGAAGAATAATTAAATCAAGTCAAATAATAACGTCTCAAGTAATTTTATTATCAAGTAGTTTATAAAAATATCATTCCATTTGACTTGATGAATACCTATTCTAGACCGTTGTGCGTCGCTAGTACCGTTTTAAATAACTACTCATTGGTGGCAGTGTCACCTACTCCTACAGATGTAATTTCTAGTAGAGTGCAACGTCTATAAGATACGACCCCGGCAATCCCGCACTCTCTCCCGGCCATAACTTACGATCTGCGACCACTATTTTATTACTTATCACCTGCCAGTATCATCCGCTCGTTCAGATCCTATCTGAGCTCGTGTTTCTCGGTACACGCCGTGCTGTTCTAACATTTGCATTTCTTCTTGTTGGAACACTGGACCAAAGGCCAATCTACCACGTCTTGAAGAATAAATGGTTAATATATAAATTTTTGCGTAGTCAAGAGGAACCTTGTATGCTTAGTTAGGCATACATTCTGTATAGCCAGTCTAACAATCTGGTGGTTAACCTCTTGGACAACCAAATTTATGTAATATGATTTTTTGGCAAATTTTATGAAGTGCCTGACGGAAAAACGAAGTTCTTTAAGTATCCGAAACCATCCCAATAATTAGCTTAATGTACGAGGTCTGTAAATTAAATGATGAGACTGATTTTTTTTCTATTTTCTTATCCAAATATAATTGTCACCCTCAAAATAGCTTCCTCCTGAAGCCACACAGCGCTGGAGGCGGTTGTTCCACTCCTCATAGCAGTGTTGGAACTCATACTGGAATAGCCTTCAGCTGGTCGGTTACAGACGGTTGAATGTTTTCGATTGTCCCAAAATAAGTTCCCTTGAGGTGGTTTTTCAACTTCGGAAAGAGCAAAACTCGTTTATTGACATTACTGTGTGACAAAGAGCATTATCGTGATGCAACACCCAGTTGCTCTTGATCTGACGAACGGTGGTGTGAGTCAAATTTAACTCTTCCCTGATCACCGACGATCTGAACGCACAATATCCCGAATTCTATCGACATTCTCATCTTCAATGGACTCTCTCCCTTCTGAAAATACCTTAAACCACCGAAAAGCCTGGACTCTTGACAAAATACTATCTCCTTAGGCCTGTTTAGCAGGAGTTGCCGTTGCACTGTGCCCAAGTCTGAAGCAAAACCTCATAGCACACACTTGAAATTATGTCACCCATTTTTAGAACACAATAGAGAAAACTGTTTCACAAAAAATCGCTTCGGACAACCAAATGACTCGAGCGAGTTCAAACTTGTACTGAAGGCGGATCACATGTTCTGCTGTCTCCCCTCCAAGCTCCAGTGTTGCTAGTTCGAACGCTACGTTGCCAGTCTCATCACTTAATCTACAGACCTCGTACCTTCTATTTGTTGCTCTGTTTTAACTAATTCATGCTTCATCTACCTATATTTCTATCTATTACAAAGATAATAACAGTGCTAATGCCTAATATTGTTACAGGGGAGGTGGAAGACTGGTCCGAAGAACAACCAGCCTCGTCACCGAAGGAATCAAAAAGCCCCGAAGCAGTAGAAGACGAACCTAAAACCCCACCGAAGAGCGAACCCGAAGAAACGGCGCCCAAAATCCGCTTGAAGGCCAATTTGGCCACCGACCCCGCTCTGTTGTCCCAGTTTGGAGGACTGAAGACAGAGTTAGAGTCCAACCAATCGCCTACTGAGTATCTGGCGTCTTTGCCACCTGCCATCCAATCAGCGTTAGCCTCTCGAGCGTTTTTCCTGCCCTCATTGATACCTCCAACTGTTGAGGCTGCACCGCCTGCTAGACAGACGGAATCTGTAGAACCAAGACCACAACCGGCTGTGCCACTGTTTCAATGTCAACCTTGTGGAATCAGGTTTGTATCAATTTAATTTTACCATTGATTAACGTAGTCCACCTGAAGATTACTAATGTAATGCTCCCGTTCATGTCACAACAACCCTAAAACCTAGGAACAATTGAGGTTTTATATATCCTTGGCAGGTCAGTACCGTGTTTAAGAGTAAACAATTCTTGTTATAAAGAATGTTTTTTATTATGTTTGAGGAAATTCTGGTGAAATACGTTAAGCAAAGATTTTACATATTTTTACGTTCACTTGTATACTCAAGATATAGCAGAATCATTCCGCGGAAAAACCTTTTTGCAAATGATGCAGGACTTTGAAGGGCGAACGAAAGCTATATTACGATTCTTATCCATACTTGAATCTCTCCCTACAACTGTATAAAAGCAGGTCTGATCCTTATTGTAACGAAAACAGCGTTTTTACTGTCCAAAGTCTAATTTATTACACCAATTTATAACACTTGTATGAATTTATGACAATTTAAAACCATGTTGACTGGACTACTGCTTTTTTACTGTCTCGACTGTGCCTGTAGACTCGACCGTGACTGACAGCTTCCGCCTTCTGGTCGGATATTTATGTCGTGAATCGACGATTCCGAATGCGCTCCAGCATTTTCTAGCAAAAACTCGATTCCTCCTCGATGCTGGTTGCTTCCAGACGGATTTCCATCATCCTTGAATCTCGTCATAACCTGGATAGCACCGCAAGCGATCGCTCTCGAAGCCTAGCAAGCTGCGATACATGATGGTGTGACTCTGGTTGCCTAAGCGTCGATCCCACTTACGGCCACCTGCTGAAGAGTTCCACTTTTACGAGGGCGTTACACTGTTAACACTGCTTTGTTAGGCACCTTTGTCGCGTACACTCATACCTTATCTCGGTCATAGACGTAAAAGTTCAAAGGCATTAGGTCTGGAGACCATGGAAGCCAAAAATATAGCGGCACCAAAAGGTACTGAAGGCAACCACTAGCCCGTGGCGCGGCGTTCTTTGGCAACCTGCATCTTCGGAGATCTATAACTATACTTCAAACAAACGAACTGTCTCATTGTACTGAAGATCACCCTTGTGATTGAAACGTTTACTACAGTGAAGAAGATATGTCAATACATGTAGTTTTATTGTCCAGACATGCTTGGCGGATTAGCTCCAAAACCATGCAAGTAATGTTTCACCATATTTTACAATTGTTGCAGATTCTCATCACTGAGCACGTTAGAAGCCCATCAGACATACTACTGCTCGCACAGAGCTAACAAGCCTACCAACGACGAAGATTCCAAGTCCACAGGAGCTGAGCCTAGCGGTAGTCAATCGGACGCGGATCTTCCAGAGCCTTCTTCGAAAAATATCCGAACAGGGAAACAGTATACGTGTTCACAGTGCTCTTATAGTGCAGACAAGAAAGTCAGTTTGAACAGGTACGTAATTGAACTCATTACAAAACGGAAGTAAGCGCATTGGATGCTCAGTACTAATTTAAAGAATTACTATATTAAAAGGCGGCTATATAGGGTGTTTTTAAACATGAAGCAAAAATTCAAAGGATAATTCTTTAATTTTTGGGCTAAATTAAGGCTACTCTGGTCCGAAGTTTCAGGGTGAACAAAATTTCGAAAAAAAAAATTTATCAGCAAAAGCAATGTTCAAAGTTAAATTCACAAAAACTAGTCCAAATGACTACCTCCAGCTAGATAACAAGAGGAATCATTATGATATATGTTGTTTCTATTAAATGTCCACGAGAAATCTCAACTTTGAAAGAATCCGACAGATTTTGTAAAATCAAGAGCTTCTCATATAATTAATTGTGTCTATAGTAAAATACCAAAATTGATGACAGTAGCCAAACTCATCGTTCGCCACTGCTATTACGTGGAGGCCTTCGAAAATGCGGCCCTTCTTTGTGAAATGTCGATAAACGTCCCTGTAATCAAAAGGTACAGCGTCAATACAGTGGCGCATGATGACTTCTGCTACAATTCTGGTATTTGACTATAGTAAACAATATTATTTTCCAAAATTTTCTGTATTCTTTATTTTTGAAACGATGTGTTTTTTCGCCCTTGCATCATATGAATTTTACAAACAAGTGGGTACATGCCCCAGGGGCGGATCTAGAAAATATTTTTTTCTCTGAAATTTCGGATCCGCCACTGGTACACGCCTTTGGAATAATTCAAAAAATTGTTCCCTGAATTTTTTCCTTATGTCTAGAACACAAAGTATGTCAACTCTATGTTTATAGTCATCATATACGAAAACATTTAATCTTGAGGCTCATCAGGCTGGCAAAACGCTGCAGTGCTTATTTTTTATTAGAGTATAAGAAAATATGACATGTTTCCTCATTTTTAAGTTTGTCCTTAATTTACTTTTAGTTAACTACTGTTCAGTGTACTTTGAGGATTGATGATATTCTTGTATCGTTGCAGGCATATGCGAATGCACGCAGTCTCGCCAAGTCCTAGTCCTTTGAACATTTCGGTTGGAGGGGTGATTCCGAACGGAGAATCTACAGCGGACAACCAAGATCGGTACTGTGCCGAGTGCGACATTAGGTTTAGCTCGCAGAAGACATATAGGGCACACAAAATGCACTACTGCAATTCCAGGCATATGGTAAGCTATTCCATATTATAATGTGCTTTGATGTTATTAAGGAACAAAAAAAATATATTTGTGTTAATCGTCCTGATCAAATAATAGTGCGGTTTTCTCACCGACATAAAAATGGCAAAAATCAATCAATGAGGATTTATTTTTATTTTGGATATGGATAGAGTGACCATGTCGTTCATATCAGACCGTCACCGTCAGATGGTGACGGGCCCTGCAGGATATATCCTAAGGAAGTATCTAATACATAAGTATATTGTTTATATCCGTTTTTCAGGCCTCAACAACATTACCTTCACTTTTTCGCTCGTGCGTTGGAGAAACAACGTACTTGAAATTTGTTCATTTCTAAATCCTGTGTATTTCTCATCGGAAGAATCATTTAGTAGGAATATTTTTTTATTCTGGATATGTTAGACCGTCGCCATACATTCCATATCGAACAGTCAACTACAGAAAATAAGGGTTAATTTTGATCACATCTTACGGAATTTGACCTCTATAGCAGGCGTAAGGTCACATTCGTAGGACAGGCCATGGAAAACTTATTATGTAATGCTATAACTTACTACATCACAGCTTTGGCGTAAAATATTACTTTTTGAGACTGAGTTTTACAAAAAAAAATGAAAGCACTGGCACCCAGAAACAACTTTTGACTAAACAAGAGAGCTTGATAAAAGTGTTGGAGCGCTGGAACATTGTATGAGGGCAGAGCACTTATTAGAACCGTACTCCTATGGTGTTTCAAGTAAGTTCGTATTTTTACAGCCTCAAAAATGTTATTTTACCTAGGGCGTATTTTTTTAAATGTAACCTTAATTCAATGAAGCAAGTGTGTAATGGGCAAATTTTACAGACTAGGACTGGGACAATATATTATTTTCTGTCTTCCAGGTTACATTCCGTTTCTTTTTCACATTCCTGTACAGGCTACTACAATAGTCTGCAAATCTGTAACATGCTGAGAAAAAGCCATCATTACCAAAACCAAAACCAGCAAAGCCTAAGACCACCTGTAATGAGCATTCCCGCACTCAAAAGAACGTCCAGCCCCCCAAAGCGACAAGCGAGCATGAGCTTATCTGTTGTTTTCTAATGTACCAGACACATCACCCTCGTCCATCGTTACGAAAACGCCCTTTTGGGAGCGGGAACGCCTGCCCAGAACTTTGCTGGTTTTGTGCGGTCACCTAGAAGACAAAAATCAAAATGTAATATCACAGAATTTTCAATTCTTGCAAAAGACCTATGTGTTGGTCGGAGGTTGTACAATAAATAGAAATCTAAACATGTATGTGGTTTTGATTAGGTCAAACAATGAAGTCCTATGTACATCTAGGTAGATACTTCATTTACGTTAGATTTATTATTTCATTCATAAATGATTGGTTAAATATTATATTACTTAAGTTAAATGGATGAGCACAATTTGTGAACTCCACCTGGTTTTATCCACACCCTGTGTGATTATATTGATAGATTCATGTTTCTCCTTGTTCCAGGTAAAGCCAGCCCAGGTGCCTCCAGCAAAGACGACATCCAGCTGCACCTCAGGCTCCTCACCAAACTCTCCTGTGGACACCACCTGCCGGACACCTCCATCACCTAGCGCTCAACTGCCTCCCACGCAGCAACCCTTTCTGGCCCTTCCCACCAACCCTATCATCATAGTGCCATACTCGTTGTTCAGGAGTGCCAGTGTACTGCCCACTCTCTCAACGGTGACAGGACTGCCTAATCCTGACACGCCTTGCTTCCTTTTGCCTAATGGTACCCTGCAGCCGATGACATCCGCTCTAAATGTCAACGTACAACCTCAGCCACCGGAAGTGCTCAAGGCGGTCAACAAGCCTAAAGAGACGCCCGTTGTTCGGGAGTCGTCGTCGGCGCCACTGGATCTGAGCATTAGGAAATCTCCGGAACCCAAAGATCTGGTGATTGATCTAGGTAAATTACGTTTTTCCCATTAACACCCAAAAAATACTATCGGATTAAAAAAAAATGCCACATGACTTTGTGTCGCGTATAAGATCCTGCTTTGGGGCTCTACAGTTTTTCAAACGTAAGGTAAATTTTTAAGGGGGCCATTAGGTAACTGTTTAAGGGGGTCTTTCCTCGAACAATTTCAACAACAAAAAAACCATATGAACGTGTGTCCTAAAACCGTAAAGTTTTTTATACATTTGATACCAAATATTTTTTGGAAATTTAGAACACATTTTCTGATGTATAATTATGTCTTTATTTCTACCAGTAAAATTTGTGCAAAATTGGAGCTAAGTTTTCGCGTAAAAAATAAGAAACATTAAGTTGCTACTGTTTCCTCTTAAAAGCTATATAGTCAAGCATAGGCATGTAGAGATATGTTTCATATTTTTCATTACGAAATCCGTCGGTGGAAACAAAATTAAGAGACCAAATTTCGAATCGAATCTCTTCAACGAAAATTTTCAAAAATGTTTGAAACAAGTTATCTGTTGGGGGTTGATTAGGATTCTGTTTCTACGCACTCTAAGTGGCCGCAGAGTGCATGTGAATGAGAATTTTGTTTACAGGACCATTAACAATACCATATTTTCTACACAAGATTTTAGTTTATTAGGTTTCTTTATTGCATTGCAAAGCCTTAAAATTAAATGAGGTAATTCTATTTGTGAGCAAAAACCATTTAGCTCAAATCCAAAACTTGACTACCTTGTATCTAAAAATTTAAAAATGCTTAGGACATGCGTTCATTTTCTTTCTTATAATAAACTCAAGAACCATCTCCTTAAAGCATTATACCCAGAAGCGGATCTAGCTCTTATGGAGACCCTATAAAGTTTTAAGAACACACGCGGAGGGGAGCAGGGGGCCCTGTAACAGAGCGAACTGTAAACCCAACATACGCCTGGTAAAACTTGAAGAGCGGAGGTCATGAGGGGCAAGATCCTTAAGGAACGAATTTCCTGGACCCCATTGTGAGGCCCCTTGCGTCCCCGGGGTTCCACGCACAGTGCGTCATCTGAAATCCGCCGGTCACTATACGTTACCCAAACACATGGATCGTTGAATTTAAGCATACAAATCTTAGCAAGTCTAATTTCGTAGAACGTAGGAAATATTTTGTAGCTACATTTTTATGTACTAAAAAACAAATGCTAAGGGCTATAGAACGGAAAACTGTCACAGAATAACGGTATATTCAAAAATTGTTTCTTCAGCCCGGCAAAATTGGCTTGGCCTACCCAAAATAACAAATCTGATCTTTTTTCTAGGCAATGAACATGAGAAAGAAAATATGAAGGGAACTCCATCTCCCGAGAAAATAGCATGCACTCCTTCACTCCACAACTCACCGTCGACGACGCCGCAGTCTGGCAAATCGCTCTCGCCCAAAAGAAAGCTCGAAGAAATCTCGAGAAGTATCAGTCCGAAAAGGTCCAGGTCTACGCCGAAATCAACTCTCGAAAAGTCGCGAACAAGTCCCGAATCTAATAGCTTACCTCAATTCGACATCCCAGCGTCGCTTACACCTCTGTTGATGAGGGGCTCTCTACCATTATTCACTCCTGAGGTGCAGATGAGGTTAAGTGAGGTCCCTGTGATACCACCAGCCCCGGTTATACCTCAGGTAAGTATCCTTAACAGCAACATCAATATGTTATACAATCTGTGTATTCAAACGAAGTAAAGCAATTCTGATCTCAAGCTGAAACTATGCGAATAACTACGTAATCTTTATACAAAAAAATCGACTAAAACGACAGTCGGGCACATCGAAATGGGGAAATTACATTGAAAATGTCCCTTCACCACACTCATGTTCCCATGTCTATTTTTCAAGATTGATCCAGTTTATCTTTTTTTTTTTTCGTTCTCGTGTTGGAAAAATAATAGAAATGTTTATACAGGGTGCGGCAGAGAGGACGGACGTTTTTGGGATGGGTAGTACTCTCCGCCTCCGTCTACGAGAGAGGTGGGGAGGGTGCCGTTTGACTCGTGAGATCCAAGCATTATGTTACCAGTTGTCGTTATGGAGCCTTGGACGGTGGAGCACCGCGTGTTCGCCTATGATTGTTTCGTCCGAAATAATGAGTCAGTCATCGTCGTACAGCGTGAGTTTCGTCGCCACTTCAACATTCATCGGAATAGAGCTGTTCCCTCTCGAAACACCATCCTTCGTTGGGTTGAATCACTTCGCAGGCGTGGTAAACTGATCAACAGAAGACCAAGAGGAGCGCCGCGAACAGGTCGAACTCCTGAAAATGTTGCACGCGTTCCACAGGTCTCTCTTCTCTGTCCGACTCGATCTGCCCTTAAACATGCTACTGCACTTCGCCTTAGTGATCGTTCGGTAAGGCGAATTTTGCATGTGGATCTCCGCTTTCACCCCTACAAATTGGCCATTGTGCAACAGTTACAGCCCGGAGATTATGCACAACGAATGAACTTCGCACGTGAGATGGAAGCACTGATCGATCAAAATGAGAACCTCATTTTGTTTATGTGTGACGAAGCCCACTTTCACCTAAACAGCATGGTTAACCAGCAGAATTGTCGTTATTGGGCTAATGAAAATCCGCAACAATTACACGAAAGACCGCTGCACAGCCCAAAAGTAACGGTTTGGTGCGCTGTATCGCAAACTTGCATCATTGGCCCTTACTTCTTCGAAGAAGGTAATGGTCGTGATGTTACCGTGAACTCAGAGCGCTACGTCGACATGATCACAAACTTCTTTCTCCCTGAATTACGACGGCGACGTGTTCCAATCCGACGTGTGTGGTTCCAGCAGGATGGGGCGACCGCCCACACAGCCCGAGCATCCATGGACGTTATTCGCCCTCTATTCCCTGGTCGCCTTATTTCCAGGTTTGGCGATGTTCATTGGCCTCCTCGGTCCCCAGATTTATCCATATGTGATTTTTTCTTATGGGGACACCTCAAGGCTAGAGTATACACGAACAAGCCCTGAACTCTGGACGAATTGATGGGCGAAATTCGCGTGAAAGTCGCCCAAGTCTACGTGAACTTCCAAGAACGCCTACAGCACTGCATCAACGATTTCGGCCACCACATGCATGATGTGATTTTCCACACTTGACTGTCTCAAATGCTATTTCCTTGTGAACCTGATTCCAACAATAAATTTGTTTTAGAGTAAAAATGAACTATTTTATGATTTTTTTAAAACCGTCCATCCTCTTTGCCGCACCCTGTATTTAAAGCGGCATCATGCTCTAATCCTCTGTATTTCCAGCTAACATACGTTTCAAATCCATAACCTATACAGGACGTGGAAAAACTCACGTCACTCTATACCCGAGTATCCATCACACATTGACGGGCATTGACGTTTATTGAGGTGAACAGCTGATCCGCAAATGGCATTTTTGTGTTATTCCGCAACGTTGGCGATAATGAATCGGGTGTAAATCTAGTAAAGCTTTTTGTAGAGTTTTGTTTTTGTATCCAAATGAACTTTTCTTAGTAAAATATGGCTTTGTCCATATGGGAACTTTTGAAAAATTACTAGATAATCAGCTGTCATTCTACCATAATGGATACTCGTGAAAAAGGCTATAGAGCTAATTAGTTCAAAACTTTGATGCGAAATCTATGTCATGTTGGCTAAAGTGTAAATGCACTCATTAGAAGCATTATACTGACGTCACATTAATATATGTTGAAAAATAGTAATCACACATCACAATACTTACTTTCATTTACGAATGAGTCTGCTAAAAACTACTGCTTTCTTGACTTACTTCTTCTACTTCTCATAACCAAATTTGAACTTTTTTCAGGTCCTGGTCAAACAAGGCGTCTCGAAATGCAAGGACTGCAACATAGTCTTTTGCAAACACGAAAACTACGTGATCCACAAGAAGCACTACTGTTCAGCGCGAACCCAGAATGAGGAGGGGAGTGCAAAGACCTCGGGGAGTCCTCCCATGAGCCCAACGAGTACCGGTACCACTAGCCCTGCCGCTCAGTACCAACAGCTCATCTGCTTGGCCTGCGGGATCAAATTCACATCCTTGGACAATCTGAACGCCCACCAAGCATACTATTGCCTGAAAAGGGGCGAGTTAGAGGTTAGGAAGTGTGGAAAATGCCGCGCCCCCATAGAACCTGGGCATCAGTGTGCACCACTTATGGCACTTGCAGGGTGGAAGTGCCCATGCTGTGACGTCATTAGCCCGACAGCTAGCGCTGCTCAAAGACATCTGGACTCGCATACTGGCGTCAAGGCGTATAGGTAAGAGCTACTATTGATTATTCAAATGTCTCCCACACATAAAATCAAACTTCGCTTGAAAAATAACATTAGGATTTGATATAATTTTCTGAATTAATATTACATGCTTCTATCCCAAAAATAGAACTTGGAGTTATAAGCTGAATATGCTAGTGTATAAAAACAAAACAATTTTGTCTGAGGGTCCATCCAATATCATAGTGATGACCAAAAATTTGGGAATTAACAAGCTAAATAAATAAGAACGATAACTCACAAAAATGGGTTATGGTCCACGTAGACAAAATTTGTATTTTTAATAACTGAATGATAACAAGGTTTACATATTTGACATATGTATATTAAAAGAGAACTCATTTAAATCATCTGTTCTTACTGCTAATAGTATTTGATTTGTAACACGCTATTATTAGCTTATTACCTATACGTGTGTAACGGAATCTTTCAACCTAAGTTTAGCCAATTTAGCAATGTTCGAATAACCTGAAAATTTGACCTTGGGCCAACGGCCGATGACAATACAATAATAATCTTTAAAAAAATCGTATTCAAAATTTTTTTATAAACTTTAATTTATTGAACTGAAAAAAATAGATTTGAAGATTTGGAGATAATTGAAAAATTCGGAAATTTGGAAAATCATTTGAAGTTATGGAAATTTTGAAAAAAAAATGAGAATTTTGAAAACTTGGAAATTTGGAACAAAATATACCAAAAATTGAAGCTCTTGATTACAAAGTACTTCTGTTGACGTTTTGAGACTAATAATTTAGAAAATAAATCACAGTTTAAAAATACTAATAAACACGCTTTACTATCAAATGTAACTAAAAAGTATAAAATTTTCAAGTTTTGGGAGAGTTTGTGTTACTGCAATAGAAAGTAAAAAATCAAGTATGACTAATTTGAAATAAAGTCAATATAGTAATTTTATATATCTGTACCCCAGAGCCAGACTAGGTTAAGTCCTTTTTTGTTAAAAATGAGTTTAATATGATATGATAATATTGTGAATTTTCATTTGCTACATGCAGCGTCCATCTATCTTTAATAATGAGGAAGTTACGACTTTTTAACTCATATCAAGTCGTATACAATACAATGCAAGAAAAATATTTCATATATAATTATCTCAAAACTACTTATTTGGACTTAACCTAGTCTGGCGCCGAGATACAGATTATATATATATATATGGTATATAATTTAAGAGCAGATTCCTCTCAAAGAAATATTGAGATTGAGTTAACTTTTATTAGTCCGAAAGTCAAAGGCAACCAAGATACAGGGTGATGAGCTTATTGTATTTTTTTTAATTTTGGCCATGCATTTAGCATTTATTCTTCGTTTTTACGAAATTTGGCATATGAGGCTTTTTTTAAACTTCGTAACTTTTTTACGCTTGGTATAATTAAATTTTTTACTTAAAGAATACATTGTGCAATCATGTTTGCTTAGAAAAGGTATACTTTAAAATCTCGCTACGATTCACCCTTTTCACGCTGTAAAAATCAAGATATTAACAAAAAATTCAGTCATAATAAAAAAGCGTTGTATGAAATTAATTCGACTATCATAATCACTCAAATTTTGTAACTAAAAAATAATTCTAACTTTTTTTACTACGATTGAATTTTTTGTTGATATCTTAATTTTTACGTTGATCTTATTCCAAATTAATTAGTCATAGTTTGTTGGACTTTCTATTGCAGTAACACGAACTCTCGTAAACTTAAAAATTATTTTCTACTTTTTAGTTCGACTTGCTACTAAAGCGTATTTTTATAGTTTCTTTAAAAACTATAATTTATTATTGGCACGTGACACCCCTTTCATGCCAAACTATCAACGTCAAAAAATAATACATTTGCGAATTGGGCGATTATCAGACGAGCAGTTTTGTAACCTGAGGCACACGTGACTTTTACCTAACAAATCAGTTTGACTTTGAACTAACAATCAAGGTCATTATCAAGGAAAACAGGAAAATGTCCACCGTTTGCCTTCTAGAATTAATTACAAGTTAGAGCAAAGTTCTACTGCTGACATGTTTGGGTGACTGTATTTTAATCAAAACGATCTTTGTTCCAGGTGCACCATCTGCAGATACAAAGGCAACACGCTCAGAGGCATGCGGACGCATATCAGGATGCATTTCGACAAACGGTCCCCTGATCTCCAAGAGGAAAAGTACATCGCGTACATCATAGAAGACAATGGTGTAGAGGTGAGCATAGTACGACCTCAACTACTTCCTGATGACAGAGCAGTGTCACCCGCCTCGATTGCCGAGCCAAATCAAGAGGTGCACCAATGCCCTCATTGCTCGTACAGCTCAGTGCATAGGACGAATGTTGTCAGCCACGTGAAGCTTGTACACGAAGCCACATGCTCTGAAGAATCTCCATTGAACGGTTCCGACGACAAGACCAAGTCCATGCCAGCTCTCGACGAAGACGAAGAACTGTACATCAAGAAAGAGGCAATCGAGCCTGAGGTAATCATAGCGCAGGGTGACGATCCTTTGGTGAAAGAAGAACCTGTAGAGCCATCCAGTAGGCCCAAGAGCAAAACTCCCGAGGAGGAAGTGCTCCAGGAGGCTGCTAAACCCGGCATCAAGTACTGCAAGTCCTGCGATATCTCTTTCAACTATTACAAAACGTTCCTGGCGCACAAAAAGTTTTATTGTTCAAGTCACGCGGGTGAAATCACGGCCTCAACTGCGAACAATAATAATAACCCTACTTCTAGAACTGCTGAGGCTTCGGTGCTATAGTTGTTCGGAGCCATAGCACGTATATTTAAAAGTGGCATGAAGTGAGCTTAAGGGTTTTTAGTATGGTCGTTCCAAAGCGCTATAATATCAGCTTCATCGCAAAATATCTTGAATCATTGTGTAGGACCTTTTTGAAGAACTCAAGATTTCGAAAAATTTCCATTGCGTTTTTTTACCTTATGACGCAACCAAAACACCAAATTTTTACACCCTGGCTCAAAAATGATATTTTTTTGTCAAAATTTATCATTGTTTGATTTCGATAAGATGAATCGTTCCTGATAAAAAAGTGTTGTTTCAATAACTCGTACAAGTGTAAAGCTTGGATAGTGATCTACATCCTAGGGGTTTCACTGAATGAAAATCTGTTATCAAAATTCAATATTTCCAAAATGATGGTGCCCCTATATCGATATCAGAGCCATAAAAGCTAAAACAGCTCAGATGAAGGATTGGGTTTTCCAAGAATATAATTTTTGACCTACTATTATACAGGGTGTAACAAAATATCAATATGGCATTAGGACTAGTCCATTCCTGGCGATCTAAATGAGCCAATTCGTTTCCAAGAACACCATTGTGCAAGACACCTACTGATTACTTACTTCGCTGAAAAAATTTCGTTGAATTGTACAGTGTTGGTCAAATGTTATTTAAGAAAGCGTGATTTCCAGTGTCCCATTTAGAGGTCTAAAGAAGCTGTATTCCAAAAATCGTCAAAGAAAAAGTTCAAAAAATCACGCAGTATATGGCGCTAAGTTTGGAACAAAATACATGATCCTACATATTATAGTGACATACATCGTTCAGCGCATAAGCGTTATGATTAAAACCATGACACAAATATGGCACTATAATACATATACAACACTGTGGTAAAACGGGCCAGTTTATCGTATACGAAAAGTAGAGATGATGCCTTAACACGAATCTTTCCAAGTTTTGAAAGAGCGAAAGTGTTAAGGCAAGCCACGACAATGTTAGAATCTTCATTATTGAGCATGATAAGGTACTATTAAGTGGATACTCTACCTCCATTTTGTCACAAGCTGGATAGCAATTTAAATTATTTGTTTCTTATTGATTAAACGATTAAATAAAATTTTCAATGTTGTTGGCCAAGGGTACATTCAGGTAATTAAGGGTTGTGTCGTCAGTAGTTCCTAAGACGCATTTTTGGCATTCCTTGATTTATTGTCATAGTCTTTTCTCTCAAAGCATGAACAATTTGATGCAAATAGATATTTCTGACATAATCTCAACATAGAGCGCTGACACGGAACAGTAGACAACTATGATCAAGGAGGTCATAAAGGCGTCCTACAATTGTAGGTACGACTGACGATACGGACCTAAAGCATTGTTGTGCTTAATCTCATTATCGATCTGATATCTAAGCAAATTTGTCGAATAAGCACTAACAAATATTTGAAGCGTATAAATGCAAACCCAGACATTAGACGTATAAGTCGTTTTGAGTAAAATGCAAATAACCTCTCAAAATCTTAGGTTTAGTCCAATCAAGTTCATGTTTTGACTAAAATATCCAATATTTTGATAGTGATGAGTACTGCTTCATAACAATAAGATATTTTGGTTAAAAAATTATACATGTCTTGTTGTGTACCTGAGACTTGCAAATATCTGGTTATGTATCTTAATAAACACTAGATTGTGTATATACCTATATGAAGTTAATAGCAGTAACTATGATAACGAAGGAAGGTAATAGAATCAAGAAATCTTCAAAGAAAATGATTTTAATGTGCAAATGAACACAACTAAATTCTCAAGTCTGTATCTTCAGTGTCTGTTAAAATCACCATCTCTTCTTCAGGATCTCTAGCTTCCGCCTGACTAACATTTTCCAATTCAAAAGCGTTTTTGAAGAAATGAAGCCTTCCATCAGTTACCCAATCCACTTCATAATGTTGTGCTAGCAGAGCTGATATGCTTTTTATTTTATCTGGTTTCAGACTTCTACCTACACACACTGTTAGCAACTTGATTTGTGTAATTTTCTTCCCTTTTTTGCAAATGCTCTTAGGCTCACAAATGTCGCTTTTATAAAATGGTTCACCTCTAACAAGAATGTAACCATTTTTGTTTTTTGAAAGTATCAGTCTTTTGGACGGTTGGAATCTGAAATGCCAGTACCCAGGAGTTTTTAGTACTTTGTGCACCTGACTTTTCCAGTCAAATACTGAGTAATCTTCCCCCATCTTTAGCACTTTAGCATAATCTTTCATGATATCAATGTATGCTTCTGGATCAATGATGGTAGTACATTTCCTTACTTTTTTTTTATTTGGGCAAATACACGGTCAGGGGGGAGAAAAGTATGCCCAACAACAGGATATACAAGTTCTACAGATTTTATGTGTGGCGGTGAACAACTCTGTAACCAGTATTGGACCATTCCAATCATTGTACTATTCTTATTCTGCCCCCCACAACCATCGCCGACTAAGCGTACTCTCTCTACCTCTTCATCAAAGGAACAATTTTTCAATGTGTGAAAAACTGCGGAAACTATCTCATTTGAGCTCCTCTGACGATCACATTCCGTCCATATAAATGATTTTACTGATTCAGGATTAAGACTGGACTTTGAATGTCCAGTCACCACAGTAAAATTCTAAAGATTTACCTGCATGCTGAAGTAACAACTCTGGTCAGGAATCTTTGGCAATGGAAGATTCTTTTGGCAGTCAAAGGAAAATGTGGCAATTTTGGGATTATCTTCTCTCAATAAGTCGTAAAACGCCTTACTACGGAACTTATGTATACGCTGGTGCATCATTTCCCTAATTCTTTCTTGTGGATCGGTGATTTTTTTCATTTTTTCTGTAAATTGTAGACATGTTGAACATACATCAACTTTTGGTGATCCACAGCCAATGTTGTATTCTCGTCTAAAAATATTTCGGAAAAAGCACTGCTTAACCTTTAGATTCATGCCCATTCTAGAGTTGTATAATTTCCACAGTTTGACAATGTTCAGGTCACAGGGTAAGTATCGCCTAATAACTGTTTTATTTCTGGCATAATGAGTCTCGCAGCAGTTTATGGATTCGATAAAATTTCTTATGACCAGTTTTTTATGAATAGATTCTTGTGAAACTCTGTTTCCTCCTCTTCTTTCTGCTGGTTTATTTATAACGTTTTCTTTAATTTTGGTACCACCTCTTTTTGGATTTTTGGTAACGCAATGCTTCAGTACAAACATGTCTTGATAGTACTTGGAAGCCTTACAATAAAAGCTTTCAGTCATAGTTAACGAGGAGCATTGATGAACTCTTGTTTTATGCCGACATGTCGGAAATTCAGGAAGGCGTTGCCGAGAATACCTAAAAAAATTGAGTGATATATTCTAGCTAGTTATCAAAGAAACTTACAAAGTGAACATACTTTTTTATCTTGTCCTTCTCTCGTTTCCATTCTTGCTTATTTACTAACCTTTTTCGACCTTTACCAGCTGGACTTGGTTCAATAGTAATATTGCTATTCATGATTTATTCTCAAGTACTTCAATTTATTTATGAACACAATAATTCAGTTAGTATATCACTTTAACAACGTAGAACGTACGTACGATCTCGAATTTGAGGTTAAAAAGAAAAATACAGCGTAGCAGCACGGTACGGCAGCTGCCGCCAGATCACATGACTAAACAGTCACGCTCGGATTGGCTTAAAGGCAAATGTCTGCTTTTGCACGTAACCTGCGTACACAAATATCTGCTTTTGCATGTAAAACCAAATTTCAAGTGCGAATAACGGCTTAAGATGTCTGCCTATGCACTTGAGGGTCGGAAAATCGTAATCCCGGACATTTTTGCATGTGGAGTCCATATATAACAGATTTTTTTCAAAAATGTCAAATGTCTGGGTTTGCATTTATACGCTTCATTTGAGACCCAGTTGACGCTGGAGCCCTTTAGTTACCCGAATACAGCCATTGACATCGATTGTGATAACTATGATCGTCCTTTCATTTCTTTTAGTCGCTGTCCTAATAAAAGTGAATGGTTATTTAGCGGAAATTGTCTGAACCTTGTAGTATCAGAATCGAGGTAGGGTAGAAGTACCTATTTAGTGCTCGAAACATCCACTTTCTGCATTAGTCTAGTACTGTTACTTGTGATTCCGAATGAATTGTAATCAAATATTTATTTCGAATTTTCTTCGAGACTGTAATCTCACAATATCTAGCTCCATAAGTGTTAAGGCATTATACCTTGTTAATTGTTGATAATTTAGATCGATAAATCATTGCGATCTATAAGATGCAATACATGTTATACATACAATTCCATTTGTGTACATTGTCTAGGTTTTGTTTTGTATAAAGTTAAAATTTTATGAGTTGTTCGAGTTTAAGTTCTGTGTAGAAATACGATTAATATAATATGCCAAAGTGTTTTTATTGTATTTAGTTTTATTTTTAATGTATGAATATAGGCTTTTTCATTACTTCTTCCTGTTTAAGATAAGAATACTGCAATTTCGACATAAGTTTATGTTATCACTAAACATAGCTGTGAGGTGTTGAAAACACCTACTCAAGGTTATTTAAAGTGATTGCCCTTCTTGGTGACAATAAATTATTTATTTCTAATATTGTGTTTGATTCTTACAACACCCACCTCAACTACCAAACATGTCGAGTAACAATTAATAATTTATTTACTCCAAAATGCAACTACACGAAAACAGATGCCCAGTTCAAGGTTATAGTCTCTAACATGTCATCAAGGTTCGGGGGATGGATGAAACAAAAATAGTCCGGTAAAATCAACTTCGAAAGTTTGTTTAGCCTGAAGGGGAAGTCAATTGCAGCATTATCTCTTGCCATTCAATCATATCATTCTTTCCTGTCATGAAAGCTCGTTTCGTTGCGACAGGAATGATCGGCAATCTTTCCATAAGTATTTTTGACTTGTTGAAATGCACAAATTTATACTTAGGTGGCGAATTTCCCATTGTTAAATATTCCGGAATATATTACTTTCCTGTCATAACAAAGTTTGAGAGGCAAGATTGGCAGTTTTATTTTCCATTTATTCTTGTCACAAGAAAGAATGGCATGACTGAATGGCAGGAACGACCGCTGGCGCATGGACTGCAAATCTCGTCGAATCTCTGATGGAAGTAATTGGCGTCGTCGAGTGGACTGAAGAATAAACTATGGTTTATTGCACCAGTTTATATACTTCAACTCATCCGGCGGCGTCGCTCGAGATGGTTGTCCAATGAGCACAAAATTAGTCACCAGACTATATACTTCAGTCCACCTTATATTGATTAATTCCATTTGACGTGTTCGCCAAACGAACTTGAGAAGTTATCACAAATTTACCGGACTATATTCGTATATCCCGATCATAGACATGGACCACTTTCATCCGAGGTGACAGTGACAGGAAATAGTCTGGTAAAATCGATTACAAAATTTAATCAAGCAAACACCTTGAGGAATGTTAGTCAACAGCAACTGTTAGCTAACAATTGACTGATTAGTTAACAGTCACCGTTAGTTGATAATTACTTACGGAACTCCATCAATATCAACCAATTGAACATCAACTACCATCTTTTGAGGGGTCTGCTGAAACAACCTTGCGTTAATCAAAATTAAATGGTAATAGCCAACTATCACTTAGCTCTAGCTTGTTTCAGTAAATACCTCAATAAGAGAGGTCGATCTCGTCGGGTATCTTAAAGAATATAGTGCAATTATCTTTGCAAGTAAATGTTAACTGAGTGACTCTGAACTCAAAAATCATTAGTTGAAATGATAACCTTGAGGCTGGAGAACATTATTGAGGCAATACCGTATCCTAAAAAATCACCTACACATTATATGACAGCTAACATAATTATAAGAATTACGCAAGATTTATATTTAGTTTTTTGCCATGTTACTGGGGATGAGTTTAATCCGTGGCTACTTTAGAGTCTACTATGCCAGTTTGTTTGTTTGTTTGTTTGTTCATTCATGCTACAATGTCAATTTTGTATAATTATTCGTTTACGCATTTTCTGAATCAATTTTCTGTAGTTTTACATTCACATAACATTTCTTACATTCAACCACTGTAGTTCTTCTAATATAGACTTAAGCTTAGCATATATGTTTTTATTTAAAATGTTTTTGATAGCTTTATTTTGTAGAGTGTATAATTTTGAAAGCATTTTCTGATTTGCTGTAAACAAGATGGTTGAACAATTTTGTCAAAATAAACTCTAAAACAATGCGCTAGAGATGGCACCCCAGAAGCATCCTAAAAACCAATAACGATCACACCGATATTACCGCCGCCCTTAATCGCTCATATGCCCCATACAGAACAATGTTTCAAACAATAATCGTCACAGGCCCATCAATCAACCCTCATCAGCGCGTAACCAAGTTCGAAAAATATTTGGAAGTATCCAAAGCATAGACGCAACTTGGAGGTCTAACTACAAGTTATCTGTTTTTATCATTTATTTAGAATTTCTAAATTGCATGATATTAATGGGATATACTGATAACATCATTTTTTTTAATAATTTTTCGGATTTGATCTAAAAAGCAAGCGAACGACACTATGCATTCAGAGATAATTTGGGAAGCGATTCCGCATATGACGATCAAAAAATAGTAAAGTCTACATAATCTCAATTTGTAATAGAAAAATGGGACTTTTATGACCTCTCATAGCTATCAGCGAAATATTATCATATTGTTAACACATTCAACAGCAGCTAGAGCATTAAGTTATAAACTAAGTTTCTGAAAACAAAACTGTTTCATCTTCCGGTGTTACAAGCGAACCAAACTCGGTGCACATGGGTAATCTAGGAAGCTGACTTCCAATACAGCCAAGCTAATAGACCCTGTCTGCTCAGATGCCTAAACAGCAAGGGTTCGCATAAGTTTGGCTACATGGCAAGCAGAACATGTGTAGTACTAAGCCATAATTAATGCTGGGATATCCAGTTAAATATAAAGCATTGTGAATGTAATTTTCCGACCGATCAAATTTTTCGATAGCAATACTTATTTCCTACTCTTTTAACTTCAGATTTGAATAATAATAGCGCATATACAGTACCTATTATAAAAAGTGGCTGAATATCAGTATATCAGATTAATGTAATTAACAAAGTAACAAGTTACTTCGCACTTTTTATTGACCCCATAAAAAACACAGTAGCTATTAAAATGTGTAGAGCAAGCAATTAGTACAAGTGGAGGTACTTGGTGAGACCTTTGTAGCAAAAAATTTGAATAATCAAGGATCCCAGGAAATTATTTTTCTCAAAAGGTTCTCATTACGTTGGTTGCGTTTTTTCAGGTAATTCCTGGCTTTCCATTTAAGATTGTGATAGAGAGCGTAATATTGTGCGTGAAGAAAACGACAATCGATTAGAAAAGTCGCTTTTTCGAAATAATAAGAACGTATTTTAGATGGTTTTTTTAAAAGTGTTTATGCAAAGTGAGCATAAAAATCTATACAGTTAATTTGCATCCCTCATGCAATGGTTTCGTTGTAGGTCACATTATAATATGTACTTAACACACAGAAAAATATACCAGGTGATACAATGTGTTTTTAAGGTGTTTATTGCAAACAAGCAACTCGTCTTGTCGCCTTACTTTATGTTTTCTTGGTTGTATTGTTCCTACGTAATAATTTTCACGCAAATGTCCATACCCTTATCACCTTATTTAAATGAGTTTTTAAAAAAACTGGTAAAAACTAAATGAATGAACCAGTTTTTCAGAAAAAAAAATGGATGGCAAAAATCTCGAAAACTAGAAGACTTTTACTAGAACAAAATTTCTCCGTATAGTAGACGATGACGTGACCTATCTACAGTTGCAGGATTATCCTTCAATTTCGAGACACCCTGTATAAAGGGCGTTGTGAACAAATTTCCTTCGTGCTTTCTCAAGAAACTCTAATTGAAAACTCCAATGTTTAAAGTGAATTACTCGTCTGTTTAGGGCTAGTTGTCTATAGTATCTTCACGCTCTGTGGTACGCCTCGGTGGCGGCCATCATGATGCTTAACACTAGTAAATGAAATGGCAACAACTAACAATATCTGTATTATTTAGCTCTCAGAAACTGCTTTGTTCACAAAAACTAAGAGATATCATTTTTAACAAAGGTAAACAAAAACAAAGATAAAACGGTGGCCTTGTTTCCTCAGCATGATTTAAATAGTTATGTTGCAAAAAAAAGTTGAAAATATTTTTTCTGGGTGTAACACTTCTAATGTCACAGAGTATATTTCAAGCATTTGATGGATGGTAGAGGTCTACAGAGATATTTAATCTACAGGGAAAACCAAATTTGTCTAACGATTTGAGTTCAATGTGTACGAGAGAAAAGCGCGAGAAGTGTGTATGTTAGAACAGCGAAAGTCATCATCATATTGAATAGCAACGGTGACGCAGAAGGTCGTGCAATCTGCCGCATTGCCAAAATGTTTCACCAGAAAATGTTATAGGTTTGGATACTGTCAAACCCAAGAAGGAGGTCAGATCGAACATTCAATTTAGTATTTTGTTTTCATTTCGATGCGACTTAGTGTTTTAATTTATTTTAGAATTATTGTTGATTTTCACCGATGGTGACCTAAAATCCACACATGCTGAGTTATTATTACACTTTGCGACAGCGAGCAGTTGGAAAATGTAACAAATACCATGTACGCAATACAAATTATTACTGCCTGCATGTACGCAGGTGAAAACCACTTCGAGGCAGGACGACACCCCTACGAGCGATAGATGGGTACTGACCAAAATCGCTCAACTGTGATTATGGAGGTGGAAACCTTCCCGTGTAATGTACAGGATGCGGTGTTATAAAACGAACCAATGCTGCAATGTTGAAGAAGTTGAGGCGATCCTGACCTTTCATTTCGAGCTAAAATGGAGCCCCATTAGGACCGATCGGCAATCAATCTTGAACAGATTCGACAAAATTCACAATACAAAAATGTGTACTCTCAACGTAAATCTCAATTCAAGGAACTGGTGTAACATACTGGCAACGCGGCAGAATGCCGCGTCAGCGTTGCTAGGCAACGCGGTGATCAGCTTCGCTATAATGCCGTCTTCTAACTCTTTCTAACATATAAGTCTACACACTTCTCTCTCGTACATATTGAACTAGAGCCGTCAGGAAAATCTTGTTTTCAGTGTATAAGAAATAACCCATAACGCCTGTATATACGAACACCTTTTACCCAGCAAGTATCACGGCGGCCTCTCCCTCTCTCACTCTCACCCCGACGCGCCACCCTCACTTTGGCGCCGTTATCGTGCGTCGCCGCGAAATATTAACCGGTATCTGGCCGCTATCGCCGGCCACTCGTGCATTTTTGCCCAGATATGACCGGATCATTTGCATAAGGCCATAATAAATAAACGAAGTTATCTGGCTCGACTGCATACGTACTCGTATGCAAGCACACATGGCTTCGTCGACGCCGACGGGGCTCAGATTACATAGATTCGATAAATACAACATATATACAATGAGCGTGTATGTGTGAGCAGAATTACTCATTGCAACGCCGTTTTTTTCTAATATATCATTCCAGGTTCCAATATTTGGAAGGAACATCAATAATTTCAAGCAAGGCTGATGTTTTTGTGCGACTAACGACACAGGGAGAGGAAATTTAATAAGGAAATCCAGAAATTATATGCTTAATATGGGATAGGAGAGGGTTGAGTATGGGGAATCTAATCACCTTTCATGTTCAATTCACACAAAATTTTCTATTGCAAATTTGGACACAATTTATCTATTTGAATTATGAATGCGACACGTTTAGCTGAGCCCGCAAGGCATATACTGCTACATGATTATTGAATAAACCAGCTCCAGCAATGTACCTATACAGGGTGTTTCAGTTTATTGTTGCATAACTTTAAGATTCGATAGAACTTTTAAAATTAATGCATAAAGTCTATATAAACATGGGTCGAAAAATGCGTGGCTTCCGAAATACAGGGTGTTTAAATTTAATTTCTAAAATAGTTTTTTTTAAATATTTCGAACAATATTTGATGCATAACAGTGAAAATTGGCATAGTTTCACTGTAGCCGCTAGAGGGCGCTCTCTACTGTACCTGTAGTGTATAAAAAAATTTTCTTAGTGCAATTTTTTTGCTTTTTGAATAAAAAAACTGATTCTTCGCACTTTTCAACATAAAAAAGCTCTCCTGTGAGTTTTCGTTATAGTTAGCCGTTTTTGAGATATTTCGATTTTTAAGGTTCGATGCCTTTTTAATTATTTATGGGAAAATAATATTTTTTTTACATTTTCGATTTGGGCATTACAAGTAATTAAGGTGATCGTTTAGATTGTGTTTTTAAACACAGCAATAATTCCTAACTCCAAATAAACACAAAAAAACAGAATATTAAATTGTTTAATTTTCCAATATTATTTTTAACAAATTAAATTAATTATTTACAACTAAAATGCTATTGGATAGTTAGGACAAACATACAAAATCTAAAGTAGTTGCTCGAAATGTAAACCCAATTGTTCAATACACAATTCACATCTACGAATGATCGAACGTGGTATAGCATTATTCAAATAAGGCCTTATTTCATCACATGCATTCCTGATTCTGTCTATTACCATATCTCTTGTGGTTACGGGAGTCTGGTACAGTTTTTCTTTTAGAAATCCCCACACAAAGAAATCTAATGGATTTAGGTCAGGGGATCGTGGAGGCCAGGCGACTGGTCCTCCACGGCCGATGCATCTTTCTGGATAATTTTCGTCCAGCCAGTTTCTAACTATTCTCGAATAATGAGCTGGACAACCATCAAGCTGGAACCAAGCCAATCTTCTTAAATCTAACATAACATAATCCCACATATTTGCATGTTCAGCCTTTAAAAATTTCAAGAAGGTCGCAGCATTTATCCTTGCAGGCAAAAGGTAGGGTCCAAATAGTCGATTACGGTAGATACCAATCCACACGTTCACACTATATTCATGCTGAAAATTTCTTTCCCGAACTGCATGCGGATTTTCATGCGACCAAATATGTTGATTATGAAAATTTACCACTCCACGTCTAGTGAAGCATGACTCATCGGTCCATAAAACGTTACTTAAAAACTCCCTATTATTATCAGTTCTATCAAGAATCCACTGACAAAATGTGATTCTTCGTTCTCCGTCCCCTGGCTGTAGTCCTTGCACAGGTTGCAAATGGTAAGGACGTCTATGGCTCAGCCTACTTCTAAAAATTATCGAGATACTGACTTTTTAACGTTATTTTATCATGAATAATTAAAAATACATCGATCCTTAAAAATCGAAATATCTCAAAAACGGCTAACTATAACGAAAATTCACAAGAGAGCTTTTTTATGTTGAAAAGTGCGATGAATCAGTTTTTTATTCAAAAAGCAAAAAATTGCAGCAAGAAAAATTTTCGGTCATTTTAATATATTACAGGTACAGTAGAGAGCGCCCTCTATCGGCTACAGTAAAACCATGGTTCGTTTTTTCGTACCAAAAACCCTTGTATACCAATTTTCACTGTTATACATCAAACATTGTTCGGAAATTTAAAAAAAACTATTTTAGAAAGTAAATTTAAACACCCTGTATTTCGGAAGCCACGCATTTTTCGACCCATGTTTATATAGACTTTATGCATTAACTTTACAAGTTCTATCGAATCTTAAAGTTATGCAACAATAAACTGAAACACCCTGTATATTGATTTTGCACCATTCTGGTACATGATATAGGCAACTCACCACAACCATCGCTCGGAATTAACATCTGGATTTCAAAACCGTGATTCTCGGGTTAGCGGGAAGTTACTTTATGGACAGGACATGCCGACTCGGAGCCGATTTCAAGACAAGGCTGAATTACGGGGGCTAAGGGCCAATCTCGAAAACTATTTGGTCTATGAATATAAATTTGCCAGGAAGGTAGTTTATGGAAGGACTCATCAGCCTAATAATGGACTATATGACAGCACTGAATTAAGGGGGACCATATGGCAAGGTATATAATATACAAGTTAATCAAGAAATCAACAACTCAAAAACTTGTTGAAAGTTGTATAAACCTTATATCAAAAAAAAAGTCCACCAAAAAAACTATTTAAGAATCATTTTTCGTTTTGAGATGCCCTGTATGAATAGAAAGAAATTTCAACAATCTTCCAAGATCAGCTCAAACACTTAAACTAAAATCGATAATGACAAAATGTAAGTAAACTAACATTTATCTAAATATCTTCAAAAATGGCAAAGCTGGACATTTTTTCAGACGTTTGACCAAATATTCAAACAATTGACAATCGAAACCATATGTTTTATATAAATCTTTTTGCGTTTAGAAGCTCTATTCAAATATGAGATAAAATACAAAAAATATATGTTTGCTAAGGCATATTAAAGTTGCCATGAAAACAGATTTTTGATACATTTTTCAGTTTGCTCATAAAACTACTTTCCATTTTCAACCTGAATTTACAAGGACATATTGAATATGTACATGTTTCATCCTTCTCATTTGAAATCTCATGCATATTATTCATTACCGTCACAATAATCAACAATATAAGTATGGTAATGGAGGTATAAATATACTTTTATTTATAAAAAAGTCTATACTATACATACAAAACTATCAATTATCAAAACTGTTATGTACAAACTCATTACAAATGATCTCAGTAATAATACTCATTTTCATCTATATCGCCATAATAAAAATCATGATCAAGACCAGTACTCTCCACAAACTTTTTGTTCTCTGCTTTGAACCTAGCATATCTTTCTCCATACCTATACACGTCTTCCTCATCTACTTCCTCCCTATATGCATCTTCCTGCTCAAGGCTATAGACATAGTCCTCCTCTCCTTCATCAGAAGACAGATCATTTCCCAGGTCAATTTTACGCACTGCTTTTACCATGTCATCTTGATTGATGGATTCCATATCAGATTCGTCTGGATAGTCGTTTCGCCAATTGTTCTCTGCATTGGAGTCTTCACTGTCATCACTATCTGCATCTTTGTAGCCATTATCTCTGGCTGAGCCATACATGAGAGAGTCATTCCATGGATGTATACTGAAAGAATGTTACTTTAAACTTCTAGTATGAGCAGCCTTGATCACTATATATTTTTGCATTTGGGGTTCAGCACTTTCTTGGATAGAATCATACCTCAGCAATCTTGAGCAAACAGTAAAACTACTAGAACGTAATGAAACAGCTATTTTGAATGAATTTACTGTTAAAACGGGTGTGCCTCAGGGCAGTATATTAGGTCCCACAATGTTTGTATTTTTTTAAATGACATTGATACCTGTATCAAACCTGATGCATGTAAAATCATGAAGTCTGCAGATGACACAAATTTGCTCATAACTGGATAATTGACAAACCTGCTTTTTGAATAATAGGCTAATTCTTAACAAAACTAAGACTTGTGCTATGTTTCGAACAACCCACTGTAGAGAAATTTTTCAAAATTCAATTTGTCTTAATGGTACAACAACTAGAGTGTCTGACCTTACTAGATTTCTTAGTCTTGAATTAGATGGTTACCTCAGGTGGGACAACTATTTAAGTTATTTAAGAAATATTTGGATATAAAAACTTTCAAAAGTTTAATATCACTCAAATTTTGAATCTAGATTAAGGTATGTAGTTATGTTATTTGGATGCTGAAGTGAATTTGATGAAACTTTTGTAATACAAAAGAGAACATTGATAAATATCTTGGGTTTGAATGTTGTGGAAGTAAATTCAAGCAATTCAGTATTTCAACAGTTTTTGGAGTGTTTATTCAAGAGTGCCTATTTAAAAATAATTGTTTCCAGTTGATGAGCCAATAAGTAACCTTACTTTTAACTATATTCATCCTAAGCATAGATTAGCATCATTTGCCAGCAGTAGTGAAAAAAAATGTGAAACTTAGTGAATTTAAAAAAATTTTATACAAAATGTTACTAGTGATTTACAGCTTTTATATAGCATTTGTACATAAAGGTTACTGTTATTGTTATCATTGTTATTGTAATGATGTCATTAAGTTTATATTCCCAAACCTGGGAAATCCAACCTCTGTCAGTGGTTTTAGGGATACATAAATATACATCAAACAGTTTTATCCAAGATATGATTATCAGAAATCTGATACATTGCATCAGTAAATTTGAATAGTTTCATCCAAAAACGACTAAATAGCACAATGACAAATCTGATAAAAAATTTACCATTGTGGTTGTAATACCTTTTGGCATAGCTAGTAGCAAATTAAACAGAATTTGCATTGGAACACTTTTTTTCCTAGTTGAAATTATGTGAAATTCAACAAAATGTTTTTGTCATATTCCAAAAACCACATTTCAAATGAAAATTGATCTGCTGGAAGATGTTTTAGAAATACGGAATTAACAGAATGTTATTGTAATGATTAAAATGTAAGCAGTATATTTTCATAGACCTTTAACAATTAGGGATTGAAAAATTAGCAGCATAATAACAAACGTTTAGTTCATACAGCTAGAAAGACCCAAAGCTTATTCAAACCTCATTAACTCAGCACCAAGACAAACATTAGCACTCAACAGATGCCTCAATTTGTTTGTACTACCTGCCCAGGCTTTTATTGCTCACTAGCCAATAGCAACACACAAAATGGAATGTTGCATGCTGAAATTTGTTTTGATGGTGTAATGTGTCCTCTAAATGTTTTGCAATTTCGCAAGCAAATGGTATATTGAAAACTTGTGAGGTAATATCACTATGAAGCACACCAAAAATGTGATGATTAAAACAATATCATTGACAATGTAATTTTGAATATTTAATTGAAAATAAATATAGACGTTTATACAATTTATATATTTATACAATTACTTAAAGAGTCAAAATAAGATGCTTGTACGAGGTAAAAGTGTAACCGAATAAGCTCAACCTTCTAATATTCTTTATGGTCACATTGTGATAAAGATGTAAACTTAACTGCCTGGTAAAGAATGCATACCTAACATAATCCTCAATTTGAGCATCGCCAAAATCATCAGAATTTGTGTAATACAAATCATAAACATACTGCTTGGCAGAATCACTTCTTTCTGGTTGTGATGTATTATATTCTATATCAAAAATTGTATATGCATCTTTGTCTACATCCTCACTTAAAATGTTGTTTGCAACAGGCTCTATAGGGTGTTCCACATTCCCAGATCGAAAACAGTTTATGATTCGATATCTGTTGCTTTTGGACTTTTCTTGATGCTCAGCTCTCAACTTCTCATTAATACTAACTTGGTGTTTCTTGAACTTATCTCTGAGTTGTTCTAGATCTGCTATGTTCTGCTTTTTGATGTGGCTCAGCACATTTTCATCCTAAAATAAAAAGAAATGAGTTACAGATCAGTTTGATGTTTGATATGTAACCTACTTTTTTAATGGTTCCCGCAAATTTTAATATAGTTGAGGCTAACACAGTCCTTGAATTATCATCATCCCCATCAACTTTTCTGCGTTTGCAATTTAATATAAGAGCGTCTAAAGGTTCTTCGTCCAAACGACGTTTCACTCGTACAATAGCAGCCATTTCTCTTAAATTGGTAAATTACTAAATTGGTTATAAAAATAGTTCTATAATCCTTTCTATAATCCAGATTTGGCAACACTTTATACATTTGAACTAAGACTAAGTGTTGCCAATAAAAACATTAGTTCAAATGTATTAAATGTCGCCAAATAAGAAATTGAAAAAACAGTGTTGTCATCGAGAGAAAAGTAAAGTCAGTGGTGCCAATAAGAAATAACACTAATTGACTCGATGTTGCCAAATCTTGATTTATTTCTAAGAATCAAGTATTTATCATTTTATATTATTGGTAACACTGATATGACTAATGGTTGACGTAATTTGTTTTTTTAGTTGCAAAAATTCAGGTTATTAGACTTTTGTCATTTTATATTTTTCAATTTTGCAGTATAACAGAAAATTCTTGCAATATAAGGCATTCTCCTAGAGACTTATTACAATCAAATACTATCAGAATGGGAAACGAAATGTCTTCAACTGCAATGGAAAGTATCCTTTTCGACACAAATGCATCCTTGTAATGTTTTCTAATTTTATGTATTTTCCTTAACATATTTATCGTAGAACACTTGTTCAATCTGAAATTCGCAGCCAAGGAACTCGAACGCAACTCAAAACGATGCGAGAAAGAAGAAAAGCAAGAAAAAGCGAAGACAAAGCAAGCAATACAGAAAGGAAACATGGAGGTGGCTCGGATTCACGCAGAAAATGCAATACGACAGAAAAACCAATCCTTAAACTATCTTCGCATGTCTGCTAGGGTAGATGCAGTCGCCAGTAAAGTCCAGTCAGCAGTAACAACTAGAAAAGTCACAAACTCGATGGCTGGTGTTGTGAAGGCCATGGATGCAGCTATGAAGAGCATGAATTTGGAGAAGATATCGAATGTCATGGACAAATTTGAACAACAGTTTGAGGACCTTGGCGTCCAGACTGATGTGCTGGAGAATACTATGGGGCAAACAACAACAACCCTCATACCACAAAATGATGTTGATTCACTAATGCAGCAAGTTGCTGATGAAGCTGGGTATGTATTTCTTGTACCTGTTATTATCAAATACAATTTTGAACCAAATCACCATTATCAGAGGTATTATGTCATAAATGGTGAATGAAAACAAGGCTTGAAGAGATTGTCCAAGCAGTTAACATGTTGGTTCAGTTTGTATCTAGTCAAGATACAAGCATTTTTCCACATTGTTCAAATCACAACCTGACAATGGACAGATAAAAAGAACATTTCATTGTTATACAGTGATACATTTACTAATAATCTTGATTTTTGCAGCTTGGAACTGAACATGGAACTCCCAGAAGGTCCTCAAGGCAGTACAATCGGCTCGCCTACCCAAGTATCTCAAGAGCAAGATGAATTAACACAAAGATTGGCTAGATTGCGACAAACAGAATAAAATAATGATTGCAGTGTTTAAAATTTGTGATATAGCTTTTATTTACATAATCAACTTATTATTATTAAAGTACTTTAAATGCTCATTTATATATATATATATATATATATATATATGTTATTTGAATTTAGAATAACATTTCACATTAATTATGCATAATTATGGGTTATTTTATGAGGATGAGAAAGTTTTACTTCCACAAATGTGTTATTCTAAATATGAATTAAGGTCAGTTAACAATAAGTTTGTTTTATACTACAAAATGTATTATATATTTTAGCTTATTTTGTATAGTAAAAAATAAATCCTGGTTGTAGTTTTTCTTTTGTCACTGATTTTTGACATTTCGATCCACAAAATCACAAGGTGTAGGGTTGTAACTTATGTCTAAAGACCGGGTATTTATTGATTTTGAGTATGTTTTCCACATATAGTTTCTTGGAATATGTTTAGTGTCACTTTCAATTTTGTAAAATTCCTCAATGAAGATAAAAAGAATGATAGATAATTTCATGAGCACTTTTCCCTTCTAATTATAACAATACCGTTTATTTCATATATTTTAAAAGTAAACTTTTAAAAACTTATGTAGCTGCCGACACAGACGTAGTACATAGCATAATTCTTTTCTTTTTATGGAATGATGATTTTATGACGATCCACTCTGTATACAGAAATTTTGGAAAAGCGCACTGTTGCCACATCTCCTTGACATTTAAAGAGCACATGCTAAAGTGAGGTTACGTTTTTGTATTCAAAATCAAGAAATTGTGATAACACCCTAACTTCGAAATTATATCTTAATTTTAAGAGCCTTTATAACTACTAAATTAAATCTTTTAAAATATTAATTAAACCTTATGAGTTTTGACGGAAAAATCAGTTAACAATCAGTTTTTAGGTTATAAATTTAAATGTCTTCTATTTACTGACTATCTTATCTTTGTCCAATAAAATGAAACAATCAGTGTTTCTATAGAAACGCGTACACAAATTGTAACCAATCAAAGATTTGTACGCGTCACAGCTGTACGTGATTGGTGAGTTTGAATCCCTTTAATTTTCCCGCCACTTAGAAAATCCTTACCGTGTATCTAACTGAAATCTGGCAACATCCGCGAGGTTAGAATTCTAAGCGGAAGGCTTTATACTTGATAAAACATAAAACAGTAAAAACCAATATATTTTAAAAATGTATATGTAATTCTTGTCCCAAAACGAGCTTAGTATATTCTAGTTAAATAAAGTAATTTATTAATGTATAGACAGCAGTTTGGTAGGCGTCATAGACTGTAAATCAAATGAAGTAAGTGTGAATTACACAGTGATTACCGCACGCCATTTTAACATCTTGTGGTTTTTGTGAAATTCCGTTCTAGTTTGGCACAGCAAAGTGCAAGTTATGTGCTAGTTCAACGTAATATCAAAGAGATTAGCATATAATCTTATAATTGAGGTAATTGCATCAACAGATCTATCTCATCAGGGCATAAATTTTATCCTGGGCCTCATATCCTACAACGATGAAGCTGTCCTAACGTTTTACGTCATAATTTTGTGAATCGGCTGCTTTTGAACCATATACTGTTCTTGTGTTTCAGGTCTTTTCTATAACTTCATACGTTTCTATAAAAGTGGATAATTTTCTACCAGTGAAAGGTAAATGAACTTGTGCTATGGTGAAAAATGTCTCAGTACTATGAGGTATTGAATCAAGGCGAAAAACCATCAGACACGCAGTTTTATACCAATGTTGAAGACCAAACAGTGCAGTATGTGATAACACCAGATAAGACTCAAGTTCAGTTCCCTACACAGCAGGTAATAACTTCAATTCGCTCAGTTACCTTCATGTTAAAAAATAAAGAGGTGAAACAGATATATGTTTTATCAGCCTCTTCTTGATTAGAGAAGCAAATAACTCGTCAAATTACATTGTTTTGTATTCGCAATAGTTGCTATTGTGTCGTTGTGTTATGGATCTCATGAGTAGAACTGCATTAAATAAGTGGTGTCACTTTCTGATCATAAAGTAGTTATTAAAATTTTTGTGAATCTGAATATTTATTTACCAATAAAATGTTAGATTGTAGTTACTTCTGGCGAACAATTGATGGTAGTAGATGGACAGCCACAACAAATCATAATTGACCAAAGTAGTGTTGCATATCAAACACAGCAAATCCAACAGGTATATAAATCTCTTCAAGGTAGCTTAAGTGTTGTGTGCTTGCACAATATTGCAATGCATGTATAAATGTAAATAATTTTGCATATATGACATGATTTGATATGTCAATAATTAATGGCCTAGTCATACCCCATATTGTCAAATAATAGATTGTTGCTTTGGCTAGTCATAAGTTCTAGAGTTTACTCATCAGATAAAATTTATTTAACTGCCACAATGAATGATTGGGTTTTGAAATTTAAATATTTATTACCACAGCTACCAATGAATGCAATCAGGTAAAGTGCTGCATAATGACGAGCATAAAATCAAATATGATATCCAATGGACACTGACAAATCAGATTTGATTTCAGATTGACACTAAGCACTTTTGTAACCTGAATGCACATAATAAAAAATTGACACAAATTTAGCACTTGCTTTTAAGTTGTTCCAATGTTTATGTCAAATCATGTTATATATCCAAAATAATAGTTTTTCAAATCTCATTACCAAATGAATTGATTTTATATATAGCAGCTTGTCACCTTGTCATTAAATGCTTATATGAAGTATGTGATCTATTTGTAGATTTTTGTTTTGATAATATGGCAATGATAATGCATACAGTTAAGCTTTAACTTAGTTTTTGTTTATAGTAGTAATAAAATATATTTTTGGCTAAGTCTATAATATGCAAAGTATTATCATATTTTATTTGTCATGCAATTTTTTATAAATGTAGGTACAGCAAGTACAGGCACCTCAAGCTGTAATGCAACAACAGATGCCACAACATACTCAATTGCAACAAGCCCAGGTGGTGCAACAGGGACAGGTACTAATAATGCCTATTTAACACTTTTCAGCCTTCTCATAATACCTATTTGCATAAAAAATGTTTCTTTTGGAATGTTTTTTTTTTGTGAATGTTTTTCTAATATAAACTGGCTTTAAACTTAGGTGGTAGTAATAAAATTTATAATGGTTGGGATGTGTAAAATATCACTTTAGTGATTTCAGATGAGCAGATATAATTAAAAATGTTTGGGTATTCATTATTACGAAGCTCCAATCGTACATACTTAGTATCTAGTCACCCTACATATTTAATCAATCTGTGGGAATATTGAAAATGGTTCATACAAATTTTGAAAATGTTAACATGTGCATGCTTTTATTGAAGCAAACTTTTCAGTAAAATGCACAATTAATTCATGTCCTAAAATGTGCTTAGTATATTCTAGTTAAATAAAGTCATTTAGTAATGTATAGACAGCAGTTTGGTTCAGATATTTTTTGTATTCAAGCTTTTTATTCACAGTTGCATATTATAATTTATCTTTTCCAACTTTGCTTTTTTAAATTCTAAAATGTTCATATAAATTCATTGGCAGCTCCAAGGTCAAATGCAGCAGCCACAGACCCAAATGCCACAAGAAATCCAAACACAGCGACAACAACAGGCCCAAATGCAACATGTTCAAATTCAACAACATTCCTCCATGCAACAGCAACAATCTCAACAACAGAACTTATCTCCACAAAATGTAAGTCATTTTTAAATGTTATGCTTTTTAGTATCTATCTCAATACATCAACACATTAAAAAGTTGAAACAAATATAACTGATCATTTAGTAAAAATATCCCATACCAACAATGTTGTCTGCCAGTTGTTTTACATCAAATATGCAATCAGAATATATCAATTGATATAGCTGCTAATAATGACTACAACTGCATTTTAAGTCAGCTGAAATAAATATTGATCAATAATTTGTGAAAATAGTTCTACTGAATTAATACAAGTGGTCATTTATATAGACTTTTAATCTGATGAAGTCACATTCCATAAAGATGTTCAACATAAGATTATATGTGAAGTTACTTTTTAATCATGATTTCCTTACAAAAACTTTTTATGTTATTAGCAGGCTCCAACACAGCAACAAGGTGGGGTGCAACAACAGCAATCTCCTGCGCCACAGCAACAAACACAAGTTTTACAACCACAACAACAACAAGTTCAATTGCAGCAACAGCAGGTGCAGGTGCAAGGTCTTCAAGGACATCAATTTGCTGTCATCCATGATAATAGGATGGGTGGTGGCACCCAGCAAATCTTTCTCATGGGTACCACAAGCAATGCCTCTATGGTTGAGCAAGCCAACCAACAGCAGGTATAACTCTAAGCACCATACATCATTTATTACCATATACAGTTATTTTCGTCAGAAGAAGAATCAGTATGCCTTGGAACAAAAATAGTGTACTGCTTTTATATTTATAAGTACAGCAAAATGGTCAGACTTTGGATTTATTGTCACTTTATAATTGATTGTACTTTTCATCACATTGCCAAAATTAGTTTTGGCTACATCACACGTGTGAAAAGTTTTGGAAAGACTTTGTACAGGGTTTGTCCTGCAAGTAATGACATTCATTTTTTGTGATCCAGTTATACAACCCAGAGTGGCTAGACTGTTGGGAAGATTTTTAGGAAACTTTTGGCATTCTCTTGCCAATTGCCTCTGTGGGCCTAGAGGGTAACGACCTCGCTTTTTGTGAATCCCTGTATTGCGATCTCTTGAAAAAAACTTTAGAGCAAAGATACGCGACAAAGTTTTCTGTTAAACTAAACAAAACACCAAAGGAGACATTGTTTATCCTCCAGGCTGCTTTCGGGGATACCTGTATGTCCTATTCGAAAGCAAATAAGTGGCAAAACTTGTTCCGGAAAGGACTGGAGGAGATAGCCAACGCAACGCGTTCAGAACATCACAGACAGAGAAAAATGTGACCTGCATGCAACACATCCTCAATACAGACCGTTGATTGAGTATTTGTTCACTTGCTGACCTTTCGAATTTACCAAAACCTGCTGTGTACGAAATTGTGTCTGAAGATTTGTGCAAAACTTATGCCCAGAGTTTTGACAGACGCTCAAAAATTCGATGGTGTGGAACTTAGACATTGTGTACTGACGGTTCAAATTTCCAACAGATCTTAGAGTCTTATCCGGAGACGGCGAAATTGCGTCGCTGCGCCTGAATAAAGCTCGAATGAACAAGTCTCCGGTGAAGTCCATGTCGACTGACTTCTTTAGTTTTTGATGCTAAGGGATTCGTGTACCACGATTTAGTACCCCCCTAGCGAGACCGGCAGTGCTCAATTTTATAAAGAAGTGCTTGATGTCGCAGGGTGCTACTTTGAGGAATATCAAGTTTCTGTACTTTATCAATCTATAAATTTTGTAAAAACCCTGTATACATTTATGTTAATAGATAAAGCAATTCCATCATTTTTAGCAACAACCAATTGTATTGAACCATCAACTGGGACAAGGGAATGCTATTGTAAGGCCAGCAAGTAGGATTGGTGCTATGGTACAAGGTGTCCGGGCAGCAATGAGACAGCCTTTAATACAGGTAATTTCACTGAAGATATTTGTAAAACACCTTCCCAAAATCTGTAGCATATATGCTGATATTTTTGATTGACTTGCTGGTGCGGAATACTGCATTGTATATCACAAAAAGCCATTATGCTTGAATCGTTTTTATTCTGATTAACCATTTGCTCAGGAAATGGCAAGAGGCCCTTATAGTTTTATTGGCAACACTAATATTCTGTTATTGGTCATTTTATCTTTATGTTATTAGCAATCGCCTAGACCTCAGCAGAGTCGTCCACAGCAGATGCGTTCACCAGGATCTGTACAGGGTATGCAGTCTCCACGCGTTGGACAGGCTGTGAGACAGGTCACTCCAGGACAACAGGCAAAACAGGTGCGACCTGTGATGCAAAGACCTCAACAGTTCAGAGCAGTACTCGGCGGTGTTCCTAGAGGTTCACCTGTCGGTCAGGTAAAATACTGAATACTCTTTGTAGTATCTGTAAGTGATTGTGAACAAATAATAATAATCCTTATTTATAAATCTATGCCCCTCACACATATAGCTATGATGACAAGCATGGAAATTACAAAATGAACTATAGATTTTCACGATTTTCAGAGAACCCACCGAAAAACTAATGGTGACTCAGTATACACAAAATATATACATACACTTGTACACATATGAAAAATCATAAATACAATGAGAGACTTAGTACAAAATGAAAAAGAGATGGTATGCCTATTATTGTGACTGTGTAAGTCCATAATCTGACATGTCATATGTATGATTCTAATTCTGTAAGGTATTTTTTAGCTTCCCCTTCAGGGACTCTATGGATTTAGTGCTATAGCATGTTATAAATTTTTTCTCACAAATCTGCTATTCTAGCTGTGAAGTGGATATTGCTTACCTCACGCGCTCTACGGCTTTGTTCTATCTTATACTAAATATTATGTCTTTTATTTTTGACTACAAGTCCATTAGCTGCAAACTATTCATTTATTTCATCAGCTTTTGGAATTCATAATAGAATCCAACATATTTATGTCTCCTACTATTACATTTATATCCTCCGCATAGATAATTGAATTCAACAAATAACTAAAGCCCAGAAGCATTTTGCTATGCATGTAACAATATATTTCTGATATTTTGATATAAATAGATTGTTGGACAAACGGTGGGAGGTCAACAGCGATTCAGAACCGGCATGATCCAGCAGAGATCACCAACTCAAATGCAAAGACCTGGACCGCCTAATCAGAGATTTCAGACAATGCAACAAGTTCAGCAGCAATCTCAGCAACAACTGCAAATGCAGCAACAAGCACAGGTTCAACAGCAAGGCCAGATTCAACAACAAGATCAGATACAGCAACAACAGGTTCAGCAACAGCAAACCTCTTCACCAGATGTTGAAGAGATGGAAACTGTGAGTTTCAAACCCAGGCCTAAATATTGTCATTATTGAAAATTATTGTTCATTTTTTAGAACTCAAATGAAGAGCAAGAAGCTGTTACCTTACCTGATGGCAATGTAGTAACAGTTTCTACTTACAAAAAGATGTTGGCGGAGCAGAAAGCTAGGGCTTTAAACCAAAATAGGTAAGTCATTTCTGTAAGCTCTGATGCAAGAAAAAATAAGCATGTTGTTATTTTTGTGTCGACCGATCCGATATTGATATCGGCATATCGGCCTATTTTACCCATATATAAATCGGCCGATATGACTGCCCATATGCCAATATAGGCCGACCGATATAAATTATAAAGTTAGTACAAAGTACCATCAGTTCATCCGTAAATATATTATTATCACTATTGTTGTTGTTACCAGAATCGATCACTGTGAAAGTGAAAACATCAATCTGACTGTTGGAACTACATCATATTTCACTTTGTCATCCGGGTCATCACTGTGGCTCGCCATTTAACAGTAATTTTAGCTTTCGTTCGTCCGACCTCAAACGACCAACCATGGCCAGCTGTTTCATACTATTTGGCAACTCCATGCCGAAAAATCTCGCATCGCATACGGCTCTGGAATTTTATTTTTCTAATTGAAAAAAATTCGAAAAAAGGTGGTCACTAACGAAGAATAAAGTAAATATTTTCTAGCAATTCATACCTCTACTTTGTCATTCGGCCTTTTGTCGAACGGTAAAATAATACTCAACGCATCATTCATTGTCGCATGGTCTTAGATTCGCGAGATTTTGTCGAATGAAAAAGGTCGATTGCGGGATTCATCAAGGTCATTTATAAGTTTCGTGCGACATTTTACCTATATCGAATCCGATATTGACCATTCGACACTCGAGAACATCGTCTCTCGGCTAATGTATTTTTTTTTTGTTCCATTTGAGTCAGTGTTGCCAACTGTAGTATGGGTATACGATTTAAGTTATGGTTGGTAATATGATAAGTGTTAGTTTGAGTCAGTGTTGTCAACTGTAGTACAGCAATGCGATTTGTTATGGTTGGTAATACGCACAATGTCACCAACTGTAGATACCTGTCGAATAGTGTTTTACTTAGTAGTTGTAATGAATATACTATATGTATATTGTTCCATTCGAGTCAGTGTAGTGCAGCTATACAACTTAAGTTTTGGTTGGTCATATGCTCAGTATTACCAACTGTAAATACCGGTAGAATAGATTTATACAAAGTAGTTCAAATAAATATACTAGTGATGGTAGTATTTTTTTCTTCCATTCGAGTCAGTTGTAAACTGTAGTACGGCTTACGGCTATACGATTTGAGTTATGGTTGGTAATATGGTCAGTGTTACCAACAGTAGATACTTTGTCGAATAGTATATACATAGTAGTTCAAATGTATATACTATTTTTTGTTTCATTTGAATCAGTGTTATCAACTGTAGTACAGCAATGCGATTTGTTATGGTTGGTAATATGCACAGTGTTACCAACTGTATATTCATGTCGAACTGTAGTACGGCTATGACTTAAATTATGGTTGGTCATATGCTCAGTGTCACCAACTGTGAATACCGGTCGAATAGATTTATACCTAGTAGTACAAATAAATAGACTAGTGATTTTGTTTTTTTTATCCATTCGAGTCAGTGTTGTCATCCGTAGTACGGCTATACGATTTGAGTTGTGGTTGATATTGCTCAGTAGATGAATACCTAGTAGTTCGAATGAATATACTAGTGTTCATGGAGTGTTACAGAGTTGCATCGTGAGTATTTCTGCATTTTATTTCAAAGTAAACTTCCCAGGATTAAGTAAATATTTTTTTTGTTCGTCTACACAGAATCAGTGTTGCCAACTGTAATGAAATCGGGTGATTTGAACTACTGTTCCGTTGGGTTGGTAACAGCGTTGCCATATGAGGATGTTCATTTAAGTTACACCAAAAGTCTGCCGCGGTTATTCAATTCTCGCTGCCTGCACATGCATTCATTCAACCATTGCCAAATAGGAACGCATGAATTTGAACGTCACGCGGTGTTTGCTTTGATATTAAGATTTGAATACACTATAGACGTAGGCAGGTAACTATGCAGTCTGGAAATATGGTATGTTTCGACATATCTGACAAAATATCAATGTTTTTGTCAAGAAGATATATTTAATAACTAGAATATGTGCTACTAACTGTAGTAATATATTGGCGACTTGAACTACAGTTCTTTTTAATTGATAACATGTTTGGTGTGATCCAATCATGTTACCCCTAAAAGTAATTATGTATCTAATATCTCCTTTTCAACTATAAAGACAGCCAATGTTCCCAACTGTATTAAAATGTGCAGATTTGGTAAAGTGATCAGTGGCACCAACTGTGAGTATTTGTTGGTCTAACATAATAGCATCTTGTGTATTATGGAGGATCAGTTGATTTAACGTTGATTTAGGATGTTCCATTTGGAAAGGGAGATATTTTAAATATGGCTAGAGGTTACTAGTGATCATAAATAACCTATTGTTGGTGGATCTTTAGCCTTATTTTTTATGGCCTCAACTTTTTAACAAACATTAAAAGAAATACAGGTCCGGGCTACTTAAATTTTGATAAAGCCAAAAACAATGCCCCCTGTATCTAGCGTAATTCCTTAATTCTGTTTACACATTTGGAAAGAGCACATAAACTTCATTATAGTGATCCACTTTTCTTATTTGAGCAGACGATTTTGTAAGAACTGTAGATACTTATTTTGCTCATTTTGGAGTACAATACACTTTAAGATCTATTAATTTTATTACTTTTATTTAAGACTATAGGCACCGCGTTAGTGTATGATTCAGAAGAAGATGATTTAATCAATCAGTTACTTTATCTAAACCAATAAATACACACTGTATTAAGAACTGAAGGTTGGCATTTGCATATTCACTCATCCATCCAAATGGTGTATGATTTAGTGAAGCAGGAGACGAGACGGATGGCTGTCTTCAGTTATTTTTGCTTGTTAGTATGACAATCGATTTGATAAGACATGCTGGAAATGCATATTAAGTTTCAAATAACATAAAATTCAAGATTTTACTCATTTATGTATGGCCAAATTTACAATCAACTTGTATATATTTTTCAAACTAGGTATAAATACTGGTCTGGACTGATAGTTTGCACACTGGTTCTATTCAAAATCAACCAGAAATCCCCTGCTTCATTAAATGACACTACATTTAGATGAGTACCTCTGAGCCAATGTTGCCATTTGCAATCCCTATGATGTTCTCGCTGTGTATTGTGTAGCTAATTTTGAGAAACTTCATCAATGCAAATTTCCTTGATATCTGAATAGGCAACCTTCAACCTTAAGGGCCGTATCGTCAGTCGTTCCTACAATAACTGTAAGACGTCTTTATGGTCTCCTTGATTTGCATAGTCTTTTCTCTCCTTCAGAAAGGCTGTGATATGTATAGATTTATACTGTTCCGTGTCAGCACTCTACTATTGTGAGGCTGTTTTCTTTTTGAATTGCAGGAAATTTCAGGCTGATATAACAGAAGATATAAATCAAAAGCATGAACAATTTGATGCAACTAGTTATTTGTAGCATAACCTCAAAATAGAGCGCTGACATGGAACAGTAGAAAACTATGAAAATCAAGGAGGCCTTATAGGCGTCCTACCATTGTAGGAACGACTGACGATATAGCCCTTAGTGGTTAATACGGACCTAGAAGTATGTTTATATTTATCAAAACGAAGTTAGTTATAAATTTAATAGACCATAAAGTCATACAGCCTTATAGTCGAAAATGAACAAAATATCTCCAGACCATATACAATAGTCTACTCAAATAACAAAAGTGAATCGCTAGAATGAATTTTCTGAACTCGTTCCAAGTATCTATGCAAAATTCAAAAATTTCAGTATGTAGGGTGTCGTTTTTGGGTAAGACCGTTTTGTCAAATTGTAACTAGTCTGGGCCTGTACTCTTTTCCTGTTCATATCGTAGTCGATTCGATATCATAAGCTGAGTACGCTTACCAAGTCTCAGAAAAATGTAATGGTGGTTAAAAAGTTGTGAGTCCATTAAGAAAAGGCTAAAATCTATAATACTCTGTATCTGTTATAAGAGGCTAAAGGCCCATCAACTATAGGTTATTTACAATTATCACAGTAGCCTCTTCCAATGGTTAAAATATCTCCCTATTCCAATATATACATGTGTGAGCGAGATAAGAAATTGACACGTAGCTTCATTCAAATTAATCAAACTAATGGTTCGATACCCTGATCGTGCAGAAATATTTGTTGGAACAGTTGTTCATCAATCCGCCTTGATCCCCTTCCGGCTTGTGTTCTATGTATCCGTATCTAACGTCATCATAAAAGTCGACCTCAATTTTTTCAGTCTTGTTCATAGACCATAGATCTATGTTTGCAGCATTTTGTTTTTTGGTATATCATAGCTGTTTGGAAGCGCTTAACATCGAGTTGCGTGACGACGCATTCCGTGACGTTGTAAAAAGTATTCATCGAAATTACTCTACAAAACAAAAAGCTGCATTTTTTGACACATTACTTTTGTATGTTTTACCTCAAACACCTGCAACTTTTTTTAGCTTGCACAACTGTTTCCATGTTCTATCTTTCCTTGGTCCGTAGCATTTGCTTTTTCTGCCTCCATTTGCTCTGTTTCCGTCAGCGCCATAACATGGATTACGTCATTTCTCGCAGGCAACCACTACTAGGCCAACCCCAGCAACAGCAACAACTGATGAGCAGTTTGCAAACCAATGGTTCTCCAGCCAGCTTGACACCCAATGCTGCAAAGAAGCGGCCACCAGCGCCCAGAACACCTCGAACATCTGCTAGAGGGGGCCCTAGGACACCCGCTAAGAGAATGCAGGCACAGATGCACGCTCAATATATGATGGGACAGCCTCAGCAACAACAGCAACAGGTTGATACACTGTTTCCTCAAAGGGGCTAACTACTTTTTTTAATATTTCATCCACTTCTTTTTGATAAAGAATAATTTAGAGTATTTATTCCCTATTGTCCTATTTGTTAGTAATGCAAGTCTATCTTTTCTATAAAACTTTACAATAGATGTATAGAAAGTTGTTTTTCTTTATTCAGGGTGTTCCAACTATCCATGGCTTTTTGAGTAAAATTTGGAACACCCTGACGCCACAATCTTGAGTGAACGAACCATATTTTGGCCATTCCTTTTTGCAACATTTGGTTATGGTTACAAAAAAAAATATCTAAACAGACAAGTGGCTCTGACAAAGATATACATAACTCCTGATTACCTTTAGGTGGTGTATTAGTTACTTATTTTTGTAGGAAGTGAATCTCAAATGTGGATAATTCTTAATGTTGAGTTTTCATGTTATAACCGACATTTATGTTTTATTTTATCAGATGCAGAATCATCAACAGCAGCAACAAATTATTGCGAACCAACAGATGCGTCCGTCTCAGGCTAATTACATAATTCAACCTCCGAAACCAAATCAGAAACCACAACAGCAAAGGCCTCTGCCAGCTTATATTCCTTCTAGCCAGATACAAAAAATAATAGGTGAGTCGGATGAAATATTTTAACAAAATTGTGCTTAGGCTCCCTTATTTTTTCCTGTTAGTGACCGACCGAAAATTGGAAAATATAACCGAAACCGAACCCTCAGCTTCTGTTCGCTCTTAATGTCAGCCGAAACTGAAGCTTTATTTAGGACTTATGAGAGTGTACACAATTTCTTGGATTTGAGGGGTCTACTTGAAACATTGATGTTTCATAATGGATGTTTTTCTTTGTACAGTACATTCCATATCTAGGTTGAGAATAGTTTTTCACCCTACTAAGACTACATTTGATTTACGCCTGGTTTTTCAATCGCAGTTGTTCTAGTTTCCCAACCCATAATTGCATAGCTGCTTTCACTTCTAAACACTTCTTTACTTTTCGTCATGTTCTGTTTTTGAGTTGTTTCATTGGTGACAAAGAATTTTAGATATTGCGGTTTAACTGCAACTTACTAGTCAACGCAGTGGTGGTCCTCTGGTTGAAGTTAACCACTAACTAAACATGACTTTGAGAGTTAACCAATGGTTAGCAGTAGTGTTACAGTTAACGTATGATTGAAATACAAGGCCTTATTTATCTTCTATTAGCCTTATTTTTAACCTAAACGTGAATCAACAGTCATTACGTTTTCTACTTATTTTACAAATACGCTGAAATATCTAGTTTTATGCTGTCAGACAGAAAAATTCAAACACTACAGAAATTAAATTGGGGCGATTTAGACTGTCCTGTTACCATTTTCAAGGAAAGTAATGTGCTAACGTTGGTTGACCTTGTCTTCTGCTATTATTGAAAACAGTTTCCTATAATAACACACAGGAGGGACAGTTAAATAACATTCCTTACTCATACTCAATTACTCCATAATATAAAATTTAGTTGTTAAACTGTCGTAATGAATTAACAGAATATAATCTTAACTGATTATCGCCTAGGTGTTTTTTGTTATTTACCTGAGAAAGGAAATGGAGCATTGCGGTCGATAATGTTGATTTCTCAGATTAGTAGTGGAAAAAGTTAACTTTATTCCACTAATCTAGTAATATTTTAAATTAGTTTAAGTTTGATTTAAATAGCCTTTCATTGAGCCTTTTCTATTCTGACACATGCGAAAAGATCAAAACAGAAACTGAAGAGAAACTATTCAAATATGAATCAAAAATAGAAAAGCTATCAAATGAAGGAAAGGATAAAAATGAGTACATCAAGAAATTGCAGAGCAGAACAACTAATATCGTTGACGAAGAGTTAGCTGCTGAAAAAGATTATTAGATGAAAATCAAACAGACTGCCATAGATGTCTTGAACAAGGAGCTAAGCGAATGTAGGCGCAGAAACGCAATACTGAAGAATTTACTATACTGAGAGCTGCTCTTGACGAGGATCACATTAGACATCAGAACATGACCTATAAAATTGAGGCGTTGACCCAAGAAAGTGACGCTCGCCGCAATGAACTGAATGTGGTGCAGAACGAATTGGCGAAAATGCCTCAGAAGGAAAAGACATTAACAGATATGAGGACCAGTGAAAACGAAGTTCATGATAAGCTGTACGAAAAATTAAGAAATCGCAGCTCAGCTTTTCGAAAACAACACGTTGGCCTGCAGGTATTCATGTAAAAAAAATCAGTTTTTTCGGAACCAGTAAGCTGAACTCGCGTACCAGAAAACATCCCACTCGGTATACCTCACTCAAGATAGTCTATTTAAATGTATGTAGTGTAATGAACAAATACGATGAACTAGAGCACTTCGCAACCTCTGAATCAGTTGACTTATTATGTCTATCTGAAACACGGCTTAACCCTGACGCTCTTAGTACTTGCTCACATTGCAGGTTATATAATAGCATCTCACTTCTGTAGGAATTGTTCTATGTGGCAATCTAAACATCGATAATGCAAAAACAACTCATATGTTTTTACAAAACATTCTGAGCTCATTCAACCTGCTCAACTGTAGTATTGGACTTACACGAATTTCTGTGAACAAAAACAATCAAATCTCGAGCACGTCCATAGATTACATGATAAACCAATATCTTGTAAACTGTACATGATGATCCACACATCTCCGACCACATCGCACAATCATGGGCTATAACTTAATCCTCAAATACCAATAAAGCAAACAGTGCACGTACAGCATATACTGTAAGATTAGTAAATGACAGACATCTTCAAAATTTCAAACAAAGACTATCTACAGAATCTTGAAATGTTGACGAGAGCAGTGATATAGACACAGCATTCAGAGTTTTCATGGAAACTTTTTTATCGCATCTCGGTATAACTTGCCTTCAAAGAATAGTCACATCACGCCAAAAAATACAAACCAATGCATGGGTAACAGATGCATTGAAAAACTAGTGAAAAGCTTCAATGACTCCACGACCTATTGAAAAAGCTTAAGTATGACGAATATCTTATAATAACTGAAGCTGACGGGAAAAAAAGACCCACAAAAAGTTCATTATCAAGTCATAGCGGGACTATATTAGTAATAAAATTGAATGCGCCGATAACAAACAATGTGGGAGATAGTCAACTGCTGGGGCGCAAAAAACAACACTCTCCTATTTCTCTTACCGACGAGAACGACACAATCACGCACAATCCATCATGTGTATCGGAGGAATTTGTAAACACTTCTCCACAGTGGCACAAAACAAATTGAAGAAAATTTATCTGTGTCCTCCATCATCGGCCAGGCTCATCAAACAACTTGACAAATCAATGTTTTGTAATGAGGTTTCTGCAGAGGAAGTACAAACCATTATAGCCAGTCTTTCACACAAAAAAGTGGCAGTGATGGTATTTCTATGCGTGTTCTTAAAAGTGTCTGTAGTGAAATTGCATATGCGCTAGCTGCTATCAACGTGTCTATCTATCAGGGCATATTTAATATGCTCTTGAAGTAAGCTATAATTATACCTGTGATCAAGAAAGGCGATCCTCAGCTAATCGACAACTACCGCCGATCTCTATTCTGTCTGTATTTTCTAAAAATTTTGTGAAAATAATGCACACCAGAATAACCATTTTTGCAGACTATTCCAATTTACTAAATATGTAATTCCCAGCATGGCTTTAGAAAGTCCAGATCTGTAGAGACGCCCATATCAGCAAAGAGTTAGACCACGGCAAATATGTAGCTAGCATATTTTTTGATCCATCAAAAGCCTTCGATATTTTGAGTATCAACATATTAGAGGAAAAATTGTACAGCATGGGAATCGGGGGCTTTCTATTGAATTGGCTCTTGTCTTTTTGTCTAAGAGGCACTTACAAGTTAAACTGAACGGTACAATTTCGAAACAGTACAAAGGGTACTATAAAAGTTTTGCAATATGACTTAATAAACGAACGCAGAGGCTTCATCTTCCTGCATGTTTAGACATACCTATGAGTGCATAGTAGCCGCCAGCAGCACGTCTTTTGATTTAGTTATTCATTCGCATTAACAGTGTAAAGTGCGGACTATGGCATCGTGATCACGTAGTAAGATAAGGGCAATTTTACGGATTAACTTTACGCGTGGTTTAAGCAAGGGCTTAGAAGAAATGACGCATTAAAGAATAATTGTCCTCATCGTACGACCATATTCAGGTTGTACAGGGAATTCCAAAGGGGCAATTTCTCTCTGTAGGACGCTGAGAGGGAAGGAAGGCCGCGAACGTCAGTACCAGAGGAAAACATAACTGCTGTGAGGAAAATGCTTGACGAAGGCTGGAGAGTGATATACCGACAGATAGAGGAGACCTTACACTTTCATGCACCAGCAATTCATTAAATTCTGCATCACCATTTACATGTAAGGAAACTTTGTTCTCTCTGGGTACCGCATAGTCTGATGGAAGAGCAGAAGACTCGACGTATGACCCGGTATCGAAAGATGCGGAAAACGGTTTTCTAGCGATGAGGACCTTCTGAGGACTTGGGATGAGTGTGCCGCACTCCCGGGTAAAACTTAGCAGAGCTGGTTTAAGAACTGGTTTTGGTGGATATAAAAGTGAATTGAATGTTGTCAATAAATAAAACTGTATTGCAAAACTTTTGTAGTACCCTTTGTACAACATAAATATTGGAGCTGCTCAAGGATCAGTATTCGCACCTTTGTTATTCATTTTATTTGTCAATGATTTGAGCCTATCTGGCTTTGCAGTAAGTGGTACTTCATTTGAGGAACTTGTTCGTGACATCACCCTAGTGGAAAGTGAAATGCAGCTTTGGTGCCAACAGAATCGTTTGGCTGTTATTGTTCACTTTAATACTTATAGGTCACAGCTTGACGACTTCGAAACTGACTCGGGGACTTTTTTTGGGGATAATTATGGATTCCAAGCTTACTTGGCAAATTCATATTGACTCAATATGTAAAACTCTCAGGAAATCATATTTTTCCATCTTAAAATTAAAACACTGTGTACCTAGGCGTGAATCTTGTAGGTCTACACAAGAGTAATGATCTACTAACACTTCCAGCAGTCTACGTCTTTAACTTCCCTCTATATGCATTCCACAACAAATGTAGGTTTGTAAAAAATAAAGATATAAATGGTTGTTACACTACAAGAGCTAGCAAGGATTTGAGCACACCTTGACATGCATTAACAACGTTTGAAAAATCACCTGAGTATGCCTATATAAAAATCTGCAATAAGCTTCCCTCTGAGCTTAAAAGACTTCAGAATGTCATAGTACTTGAAAAACGTCTGAGGACATATCTTGTGGAGCTGTACCCCTACTCAATAACAGACTTTTTATTCTTTAATATAAATATATATATATACGTATATACATAATATAGGTGTATTTTAACTAGTCTATTGTTTCAATGTGTTTTTATTTAACAAATCTCTGTACCCTTTTTACATACTCATCTAGTATCTACTATATTAGTGTAAGTATTACATTTTAGATATTTATGCAATTATTGATTTGCATAAACACACTGAGTAAAATGCCGATAAATAACTACATACTTTAAGGCCGA